ATATAAACCCATAAAAACATAATGCAAACATAATGCAAAACAATATAAAATTAAAACGGAACAGTAGAGAAAATCCGATCAGAATGACAAAGTAAACTAAGCACCAACTGGTAGGCCTACATGTACAGAAGTAAAATAAGAAATATCATTCTTCTGAAGGCGACTGTAGATTGAAGCATAGATTTTTAATTTTTATTAAACAACCTAATTTTCGGTAGCACCCGGTCCCCTGTTCATGGTTAAAATTTAACAATTGAATATAATAATCACAATTTTTATCATCATTACAATTAATAACATTATCATTATATCTGATACTTGATTCGATAATCAGCTGTTACGCTATTTAGGCCTATTAACAGAGAAATTTATCGCACTTCAAACCAAAAAGTGGACAAATAAGTAAAATTTAATGGGTAAGCTAGGCCTACTGTAATTCTACAACCTACACAAGACGCACCAAGGTGAATTACTGTTTACTCATTTTAATACTAACTGCTGTGTCTTGACCTTCAATCATGGGGTCGAGAACATAAATCTTGCTTGTGTACAGCACTCTCATACCATGGAGGAAACTGCCACAAAAACGCGTCGAAAGATATTTTTAAAAAATAAGTGCAATATGGAAAAACTTGAGCAGATGATATTGTGAATTTACACTATACGTACTATACGTATATATACACTATATATTACTCGTACTTACAAATGTAATCTTAGGTTTTCAACGGGACACAATATTAAACAATAAAATATCAAACTATAGAATAAGGAAGGGTGGGCCAGTTTATTAAGTAATAAACGAGATAACCAAAAGGACATACACATTAATTTGGAATACCCTTAATTTGCTGTAAGGTGTGTAATGGATGCGCCCAACAGCCCAGAAACCTTGTATTTAACGTAAATACACGTTTCTTGACTGTTGGGTAGCTACGAATACAACAAGAACAGCGCCATATGATTCAATTGAACTGAAAGAAAGGAATGCCATTTTAGTCCTGTGTCACCTTTAGGAACGGAATTCGGTTTCACACAGAGTGAAAACGCTCGTTCGCTAAAAGCACACACCTCAAAATGCACAAAAACGTAAGGTATATATGCAGAAAACGCCACGATTATTTCCTACCTTATATCGTAAAATTCACTATCACGTTAGAGGTAAATCAAATATACCAGCAGTTACTTGGAGAATCGAAATGTAAAAGCAAACGTTAATTTCTAACAGAAACAAAATGACTAGCGTATGAGTCACAAATGGTGGCTTCGATTGTTTAGCGTCATTAATATTCAAAGTGAAAACGCACTGGATTTCTTTACCATTGAATTGGACTAGTCCATTTCCGGTGCGGGGATGTATTTATTGAGTAGAAAATAAAGTAAGGTAGTCCACTGTATATTATTATGTATTACCTCCATACACTGAATGGTTGCACCTTTTCTAAAAGTTTATTCTGGATTCTACAAACATCGAATGTAACAAAAATTTAACGATGTTGGCAATTTTACATAAATTAATGTGCAATTTGTAACTGCCACGGTTACTGGGTTTACTGCGTCAGAAAAATTGTAAGAATACATTTTACAACATATTCGAGGTAAAGCCCAGTTTAATAAAATCTAGTAACATTTGTAACTGAAACATGGTCTAGAAATTCACTACTTGTAATAATATATATTATATTAGGCCTACTAGGATATACTGTAATTATAATCATCAACTACCGGTATTTATCATCAATGGTAGGCCAATGCATTGTTTGTCAAATTATTCATTTTTTTACATTCTCAGTAGGAAATGATCATAGGCCTACATTTGTTCCTAGTCAGGCAAGATGTTACAATAGAATGCATTCATCAGAAAATACATTGATTTGTACATATTGAAATTTCATTCAATATTTTATTTCGGAAAAAAGGCACATGCAACAAAAACAACAATGGGGCTATGTCGAAAAAACGTTACTAACGTTAACGTTTTTTGAGTTGAACTCAACGTTATAGCAACTTCAAAGTTACTTATAAATACATATGTTAGAAATTAGTTATAAATACATATTTGTGTAAAATTTGTAAAAAAACGTAAAATTTTTAGTTGAGTATAAACGTTTACTGGAGTGGAGTTGAACAGTTCTGTGGTTAAGATGCTTGCCTTCTAATCCCAGGGTTCTGGGTTCAATTCCTGTCACATCAGGACTTTTTCTCACGACTAAAACAACTCCACTATTCACCCTGTAAGCGTACTCGCTGTTCGATGTGAAGGAAATAATAAATGTAAAGTCAAGGACATAACATTACATAAGAACAACTCAGGTAGACTCCGACCAGGGACCTCCATGCTCCGACTACTTAAATGCAAAACTAATATATGTAGGAACCGTTTTCATGATTCCATTTCCATTTTTAATAACAATTTTCTAAGATAGCAGTCGTATAATATTATCAGAATAGTCGTCATCATCTCCAATCTTTCATATTATATGTCAGTTTGCAATATTTTTCTCGTAATAATCAGTTTACGGATAATCCTTATATTTTGTATCTTTATTTTTACAGTACATGATCTTTTCATTTTGTTTGTTTTTTAAATATTGTAAGTTTAATGTCTGTAATTTAACACTTTGTATATTTAACCAATGGACCTTTCCGCTAAGCTCCGCCCCTTGGATATTGTTGCTTAGGTCACACAAAGACAGCAGTGTTAAAACATACGCGAACACGTGCGTTTGTGGGACAACACGTGTGTTTGTAAGACGCGCGCGCATTCCTAGCGCTGTTCTGATTAGTCAGTTGTTAAGTTTGATTGACACTCTGGAAAGGTCTATTGTATAAGCTCCTGAATAAAAATTTCGATTGCACCGTGTTGTATTGTCGACCCCCCCCCCCCCCCCCCCCCCCACCGGCGCTAAAACCTCTAATAGATACGCCACTGCTTATATTTCACAAAAACCGGCTAGTTGGACTAGTCTAAACATAATTATAAACATAATATTCTTCCCAGCCAGTTAATTAATAACGTTACCGAAACGCTGTGAACGTGTCTTTTGCCGGGAAATAGACAGGAGATAAACATTAAGCACATGCGTATATATATATATAATATATATATATATATATATTATATATATACAAATTCTATATTGTAATTAGATGACTCAATATCAAAATATCTATTTGTTACATACTACACCGGGCATACGGTATCTTCCAAAATTGCTATCTCAATATCTTTTGCTAATTTCGACAAATTGATTGTTTTTGTTGCAATCAGCGGCGTTAAGTTGCATATTTCCATCGGAATATTGCGAGGATGCTCTTTAACTATAGGTATCAGGAGCCTCTTTACTCGCACATTGGTTAAATAAGCGTATGACAGTCTGTGACAAAGTGCATGGTCTTCACAAAACTCTTCATCAATCACAACCAATGTACATGCTGACTTCTCAACAGATTTCTCTATGTTCTGGCAAACAGTTGCTCCTAGAGCAAAATCTCGGTCGGGTATACACCCTTTGAATCTGTATGTTTGCTCTAGACGAGAAAGTAACGTGTAATACACCCAATCCTTTTGCTTTCCTGAGAATACAACAAAGAAATCGTAATCTAACCCGCTCTTACTTTTAGACGGTGGATGAGGAACGGTGGGTCGAGCTGTTTTACTTTGTTTACTTGAGTCATGCACATCAAGTTGTTTACAGATATATTGTACAACATCGGCGATGCTACATTGTTTCTGCTCTGTTGTACGTTCAGAAGGATGGACCCTAACTGGTGTGATACAAATTCCTTCACTATCGATTTTTAACAGAGTATGGGTTTCCGATCTTTTTAGAGTCTCTTTATTGGTAGTGGTAGTAGTAGTGGTGGTGGTTGTATTGACGGTGATGTTATTGGTGGTGGCAGTAGAGGCGGTAATGCCATACTCAAATGTACTATTAGTACTTCCTACAAAACTAGTATTATTTACAAATGTACGACCAACAGTAGCGGGTGGACTACTTGCTGTGATGACAGCAACGTTAGTATCATCAACAACTGCGACTGTGGCATCGTTAGTAGCAGCAGCAGTAGTAGCAGGAGCAGTAGTAATAGGAGCATTAACTACAGCAGCTCCATCCAATTCAGCAGCAGATGTTGCAGCAACAATAACGGGAATGTTCGCAGAAACGTCTACAACAGGTAGACCTACTGTGAGTTGGTCATGGTCAGATCTACTTTCAATAGTTCTTTTTGCAAATGATGTATGCTCCTGACAAATCTGGACTGATCTGGATCTGGTTTTGTTATCACGATGTGGAATTGCATCACCCTCTTCTCTTGGTGTCTTCTCTGAAATTGTCTTGCTTTTGAATGTGGCACTGTTTTTATTAAAAACTTCACCATGTGTGTATTTAGATAACAGTGTTTTTACTTTTTCTTTTTTGTGTTCGTTTTTGTTCAAAATACCTGCCAGGTCTGTAACAACCTTGTCTTGATCAGCCTCATGGTTTTTCAACAGTGCTTCCAGGAGACGTAGCATCTTCTTTACATTTTTCTTTTTATTAACAAAGGACTCAACAGACTTGTTCTTAAACCCCAAGCACCACCAAAAACACAATTCTGCAAGAATTTCTTTTTGATTATCTTGCTCAACTTTCTCGTACAAATCAAACAATGAAAGTATCAAGTTTTCAACATTTTTTACTGTTTTACAGTTCGGACGCTCACATTCCAGAGCTTTTTTGAAGCTTTCAACGGCGCCACGTAACTCATTCATATCAAGTAAACACTGCCCTCTTTTGAAGTGGATATCATGTCGCTGATTTCCATCCCCAGTTTCTGTAGCGTTCATGAAGTAATGCAGTGCCTTGAGGAAATAATATTTATCATCCTTTACATTAGCATCATTACTTCGACATCTTGCCCCATCGGAATCAGTAGCTCTGGTTTTAGCTGTTAGTCCTAACAGATAATACACGTGTCCCAGTTTTCCCAAATCAATTGGTGAAGGATTTCCCATAATGCTTTTAAGTAGATCAGCTTCCGCTAAAAGTAAATAACCCCGGTCTTTACTTTCAGGTTTACTTCGAATGTACTTATCAATATACCAATTAGCTCTTGAACTATAAGCAAACCAATTCGTAGAAGATTCATCCAGCATTATAGCCTGGTTAAATTTAATCAAAGCACCTTCGAAGTCCTTTGAATGCGCCAACTCGCGACCATATCGAACATAAATGCGAATGTTCGTTGGATCATTATGGAGAGCTCTCTTAATAAACTCATTCGCTTCTGTACGGCAATGACATTCATTTTTCTTGAACTGACCACCTTCTTTCTTTGGTTGACACTTACCACGGGAACAACGTTTTGCCATTAAACTTCCTAAAAGGCTGTATGCATCCGCTTTGCGATGCTTATTGGTGGCTGACATGTTGTATTTGAAGCCGTCCTCACTCGTCTTATACAATTCGTCTGTGGTTGCGGAATTGTAGACGTAGAAATCCAGATGTATATTATACATCTCTTTATAAAGTAAGCCTCGATAAAACTTCCAATCTTGGAGTTCTTCTTTGCCAACAATGCCTTCTGATAGTCTGATCGCTTCCGAATACATTTCACTTGCTGCTGTTTGTTTGTCAATGGAAACTGTGTCCCTAATTAAATCATTCGCAAAAATGTATCCTTTTTCGGCAATACACCGGCTACGCCGTTTCAACATTATTTCTTTCTGTGAGTTATTCGCATCGTCTTGCAATTCCATGAGAGAATTAAGTTTTTCCGTAAGTTCCTCAGCAAATGAATGCTGATACAGCTTCTCATTAACGTATGCTAAATCTGATATGGCATTTATGTTGGTTTCATCTTCCCATAAAGTCTCTTCGAAGTACTCGCATGCCTTGAATATATTCCCTAATCTAAAATGGAAGACGGCGAGGAAATTACGAATGGCGAATCGATGTGGACGGTCTTGGTTCTCTTGCAAATATGTCTCATGTTTTTTTATAGCTGTTCTTGCGAGATCTCGATTAAAGAATTGTTGGTTAATAGATACTGGTAGTCGAAGCAAACCAGCCCTTGTCCCGCTGCATGTCTGCAAACCACTCATGTTGTAACCTTGTTTTATCTGAAATGTGAATAAAATATTTCCAAAGCTCGTGTCTTTCTAGCTGTTTTTTTTTTAAATTATTTTTTAACGTAAAATATGACAAAAATATACATATAAAGGCTTCGGCGGAACTATCTGATCACATAACATTAATGTTTTTGTTTTTAATTTCAATGGCGGATAGAAGAATTAGATCCTTTAATTGAATTTGGATTCACAACACAGACATGATAGAGGACAGAATGAACGCGCTGCAATGTTTGGGCGATTTCATTATCCGAAAAAATGTATATAAAAATGCACTTCATTAAACGATCAATTACTTGTGAAAACTATTAAAAATAAATTCCCAATCTATTCATAACACTGTAAACATAAGAAAAGTCCAATACCAAGCGTATTCATTTATTAAATTATAACAAGTCTTTGATACAGCAGGATGCATATTTTCATCAGATCACAAAATGGAACGCGCCAAGATCCCTGGGTCGGCTGTGAGCTCGGACAGCTTTTCTTTTTGAAAGCATATAAGAAAATAAAAAAATGACGGAAGAAAATTTTATCCGATGAGATTATTAATATATATACCTGATCGCAAGAAATTTGCCTTTCTGTTACCGCTCCAACCTAAGCAAATGGATTGGTATACGCAAAGTTATTACGTTGTAAATAAAACGAATCCTCACAAGCCGGCTCAAATCCCGCTGAAAACATGCTAATATCGCTTATTTTCGTAATTCAACCCAAAAATGACGGAGCTAAATATTTGAAAACAAATATTTTGTAAATTGTTTACAATACCTATACTTTTTCTATAAACCTAAGTTATCCGAACTTCAGTTTTTAGGTTACCGTTTTTGTAGTAAAATCAGTCGATGTTTTTGAAGAAACGTTATGGTTAAGAGATACAGTATGGTGATTTTCGAATCACGGCTGCGCGTTTGCAGTTAAATGCACCAAATTGATATGAGAATAAATCGATGTCAGTCGTTGACTCTTAAAACATAAATTTCAATAAACAAATAAATGCAGGCGCGTTCGATATAGGCCTATATATATATATGTGTGTGTGTTGTGTGTATATATATATATATATATATATATATATATATATATATATATCGAATTTGGTTATCCACAGTGTAGTGCGTATACCATGTCAAAAATACCGATGGCTTAACACCCCCAACTGAAAGAAGGAGTGATTATGGTATACCAGCATGTAGGCCAATCCGGCTTACCAAAGTCATATATCGCTTTAGGAAATAATACAAACCTGAAAAGTCCTTTTGATGTGTGCTGCCGAAACAATAGTTAACACGCACACAGGTGATGAATAAGAATAACGGTATTTCAATCACGGCCTAGGTCCCCATTCAGCTGCGATTTAATAACAGTAACAGATATACTGTATACAGTAGGTAGGGCAAAATGTAGAAAGCCCTATTTAGCAGTTTGCTCTTTGCACTTTGTGTGTATGTTAAAGATCTTTATCAAAATATCAATTTCCTTGTTCCGGTTACTACAGTTTAGTTAGAAGTTCACTTTAAAGCGGAATGGTCCATTGCGGACATATCTTCAAGGATATGAATATTTTTCACTAATACAAAAAGTAGTATTTTAATGTGTAAGTGAACGTACATTTGTAATGTAGGTGTTTCTTCATACCGAATAATTGTAGTTATGGTTTCTTTCTTCCAATTCTGTAAAAAACATCGCTAAAAGCATTGCAAAAATAGCATCGCAGTTTGCATCGTTCTAAACCAATATAGTTTCATCAAGCACATAAACAAACATAGGAGGTTACCGATACTGTACAAAGCAAATCAATAATACGAGCTGTCGCATATATTTTTAAAACCATTATTCACAGGGTGAATCAGCAGATCAGTTGATATCCAGGGGCCTTCTTAAGTCCTGTCCAGACTTACTATAACATTTTATGCCTAAATATGGTCATGATGACATCACATCATGATGACTATATATGGGCATACAACAGTTTTTTGTCATAGGAAATTTGAGAGTGTGGACAGGGCTCTAAATATATGAAATTATATACGATACTGTGCAAAACAATAAATCAGATTGCTAAAAAAAATGTCAGATATTTTACTTGAATGCAAACATTGTGTCCGAGTATTATATAAACCAGGCATGAATTACTATAATACTGGGCGTTCCTGTTACAGTGATTATAATAATAGCACAGGCCTAATAATGACGAAGACGTCAAATAAAAGAAGTATATTTTTCCATTCAACCGTTATCCCATGCAAAAATATATAGTCATCACATCATGATGACTATATATGGGCATACAACAGTTTTTTGTCATAGGAAATTTGAGAGTGTGGCCAGGGCTCTAAATATATGAAATTATATACGATACCGTGCAAAACAATAAATCAGATTGCTAAAAAAAATGTCAGATATTTTACTTGAATGCAAACATTGTGTCCGAGTATTATATAAACCAGGCATGAATTACTATAATACTGGGCATTCCTGTTACAGTGATTATAATAATAGCACAGGCCTAATAATGACGAAGACATCAAATAAAAGAAGTATATTTTTCCATTCAACCGTTATCCCATGCAAAAGTAAGTGAACCAGTCTGTTTCTAAACTAAGTACCTCGTTAACTCATTATAATTCCAATTTTGCGCACCTGATTTTACAAAAACCTATTTGGGAGTTCTTCACATACGTTATCCCCTTCATCCGAATAATTTTAAGAAGTTTTCAATTATTTCTCCCTAAAGTCAGAACATGAAGATTTAAAGACTGTTTAATTTATTTATATCTTCGTTGTGTAATCTTTATTGCTATATTTATTATATATTGTATTTTATTATTTGTAAATGAATTGGAACGATGTGTATGTTATTGTCACTAATCAACTTTAATGATTCTTAATGACGTAATAGCGATGATAGTTTTTTGTGGTTGAAAATAATAAATCAAACTTTCATAGACTAGTTGCTCTAATGTATGATTTAATATAGAAACATGTAAAGTCTCACCCACTTTCTCCAAAAAAAAAAAGATATGTCACGGTAGTAATGATTACATTACAAAAACACAATTTCTAGTCAACAAACAAATTAGAGTTTTAGTTTGTTCCATAGTATTCTGCTTTAATGCACTATAAAGTATGTAAGCACAGTGATCTACTGTATAATGTCTATTAACATGCATGAGTACGATAGCATTAGTAAATAATCCCAGCTTATTTGAACCATTTATATATTTTTTTAAATTTATCATAACACATATGGTCAATGGTAGTTACACAAGACAATGAATGATTTAAGTAGTATAATATAGGCCTATATTTATAAAATCTATATTTGCGTTCCCATTAGCTTCCAAAGCACATCATGAATTCAAAATATGGATATTATAATGTCTAGTTTCCATAAAAATCGCCACACGCTATCGCCGACTCCTTGGCGACGCTGATTGGTCAGTTGAGCGTTCCTGATTGCGTCGGGGACAGCTAAGCAGCGCAAGGATTGCAGTGAAAAGCGGCTGTGTAGCGATTCTATGAAAACTAGACTTTAACCAGATCGTATAACGCAAGAATCTGATAATCATATGAAAAATATTAAGTGACGCATTTATAAAATATACTTAAGCACCCTACATTTATTTGGCATTTACAAAATATTGAATTGATAGTTATATAGTCACATGGCTTTAAACTAAGAATAACTCTCACAGTTGTGACAGCCAAAGACTAAAATAACGAAAAATCATTTCTAAGAGGAGTCCAAGGCAAAACAACAATCGTTATTTATTTATTTATTTATATATGCTGGAGAGAGCCTAATCATGATTAAAACAGGATTTAGTACACAAACGAAAAAAGTAACAGAGAATAATAAACAATAAAACAATTGCAAGGTATCATAGGATTTTTTTAAAAACACCTCTTTCAAACAATAAAGCTACCATCTTGGTAAAATGCCATAGCATTAATTATACACAGTATCTACAAAGTTACTTATATATACAAACGCAGTGAAATTCACATTAAGGAACGGTGATTAATAATACATATTATGTGTGCAGAAACTCTGTGTAGTATTGCATCATTATTTTTTGTATATGTAATATAATTTACTGCAGACATTTTTTGAATTAATAATAATAAGAGTTTTCAATCTTCTGATCAATTTTATATAGCCGGAGTTAGTTCCCTCCAAACAAACCTTGCTAAAAAGGTACACTTTTTTCATCAAAAGGTTTCTCCTAAAAATAGAATGACCTTTTCGAGCACGAACTCCTGTAGACCAAACCCAGTACCGTTACAGTTTTTACAGGAAATCTACTCATATTGTAATTAAATGACCGAACACCGAAATATCTATTTGTTACATATATCTACAGCGTGTCTATCTTCCAAACTTGCTATCTCAATATCTCTTGCTAATTTTGATAAATTTATTGTTGATGTCGCAATCAGTGGTGTTATGTTGCATATTTCCATTGGAACTTCACATGGATGCTCTTTCAATATTGGTATCAAGAGTTTTTTTAGTCGCGCATTGGTGTAGTACGCGTATGTCAATCTGTGACGCAGCTCGTGGTCTTGACAGAACTCTTTGTCAATCACAACCAATGTGCATGCAGATGTCTTAACAGAATTCTCGATGTTTTGACAAACTGTCACTCCTGGGGTAAAATCTCTGTCGGGTATACATCCTTTGAATCTGTATGTTTGCTCCAGTCGAGCAAGTAACGTATAATATACCCATTCCTTTTGTTTTTTGGAGAACACAACAAAGAAATCGTAGTCAAATCCACTTTTACTTGTAGATGGTGAGTGAGGCATGGTGGAACGAGGCCCTTCAGAGTCATACACATCAAGCTGTTCACAAATATAAAGTACAACATCAGCGATGGTACATCGTTTCAGCTCTGTTGATAACTCATATTTTGAAGGATGTTCTTCAAATGGCGAGATGCAGATACCCCCTCTACCGATTGTTAATAGTGTTCGTGATTCCGACCGTTTAAGAGATTTCTTGCATGGGGTGGTAGTGGAAATGTCGGTAAGTCTAGTACCAGCAGCAGCCTTTATAGAATTATTATAATCATAAGATACAGGAACAATAGCACCGGTGTTAGTAACTGATGTGGTTGTAGCAACATCACCATCAAAACCAGCTTGGACTGCTATGGTTGTAGCATCAGGTGCAATATCAGCAGCAGTAGTTGTAGCAGCAGAAGTGGTATCGTTTGAAAATGACTGTCCGCCCTGGGCACTTCCTCTCCCATTATGTTGGAGAAAAAATCGACATCCATCGTTTTGTGATGCTTTCTTCTCCGGAGTTAAATCCCCACTCACAGTGGCACTGTTTCCATTGAGACCTTCATCTTGTGTGTATTGAGACCACAGTTTATTTACGCTTTCTTTTTTGTGTTTATTTTCGTTCAGAATAACTTTCAGAGATTTTATAACAAATGTTTCTTGATCCGACTCCTGGTTTTCAAGCAGTGCTTTCATAAGTTCTACCATTCTATCCACATTTTTCTTGTTATTGACAAAGTCATCGACAGGCTTGTTCTGAAAACCTTGACGCCACCAAAAACACAATTCTGCAAGAATTTCTTTGCCATTTTCTCTTTCAGCCATTTTATACATATCAAACAATGAAAGTATCAAGCTTCCAATGTTTTTCAGTGTCTTGCAGTTTGTCTGCTCACATTCCAGAGCTTTTTTAAAGCTTTCGATAGCACCACGTTGTTCATTCATATCAAGTAAACACTTTCCTCTTTTAAAGTGAATATCAGATCGCAGATTACCATCCTTTATTTCTGTTGCATTCATAAAGTAGTGCAGTGCCTTGAGAAGATACTGTTTGCCACCATCCACATCATTCTGACCTCCTTCACCATCGGCGATTGCACTTGATTTATTTGCAGGGTTCGATCCCAACATATGATAAACGTGCCCCAGTCTTCCAAAATCAATTGGAGATGGGTTTCCCATAATGCTTTTAAGTAGATCAGCTTCAGCAAGAAGCAAATAACCAATATCTTTCCTTTGATTGTATTTGGTAATATACACACCGGCTCTTGAACTATAAGCAAACCAATTTGTAGATGACGGATCCAACACTATTGCCTGATTGAATCTAAGTAAGGCATTTTCAAAATCACGGGAGTGTGCTAACTCGCGACCATATCGAACATATGTGCGGATGTTCTTGGGATCTATACGAAGAGCTGTCTTATAAAAATCATTTACATTCTTGCGGCATTGGCATTTCTTAAACTTACCATTTTCTTTCTTGTCACGGGGACACATGCCACGGGAACACCGTTTTGCCATCAAATCTCCTATAAGGCTATTGGCATCCGCTTGTCGATGAATACTGTCGGCGGTCAGGTTGCTCTTGAGGTCGTCCCTGGCCTCATCATACAATTCCTTAACGTTTTTGTGGATGCCGGCGTCAAAATCCAGATGTATATTATAAATGCTTCTGGAAAGTAGTCCTCGATAAAACTTCCAATCTTGGAGTTCTTTTTCGCCAACGATGCCAACTGATAACCTTATTGCTTCTGTATACTTATTACGTGCTAGGTTGTGTTTTTCAGTGGAAACCGTGCCCTTATTTAGATCATTTGCATACATGTATCCTGCTTCGGCAATACACCTGCTTTTCAGCAATTCTCGTTCTGAATTATCCACATTCTTTTGCAGTTCTGTGAGACATTTAAGTTTGGCTAGTAATGTTTCGGCTTCTGTATGCTTGTACAGCTTTTGATAAACGTAGGCTAGATCTGATATGGCATTTATATTTGATTCGTCTTCCTTTATAGTTCCTTTTAAGTATTCACATGCCTTAAATATATTGCCTAGTCTAAAATGAAAGACAGCAAGAAAATTACGAATGGCAAATCGATGTGGGCGGTCTTTGTTCTCTTTCAGATAGGTCTCATGTTGTCTGATGGCCGTGTTTGCATGATCTCTATCAAAGAATTGTTGGTTGATGGATAATGGTAGGCTAAACATACCAGCTTTGATCCGATTAAATTCCGTTGAACAACTCATGTTGTCACCTTCAGTTTGCCTGTAATGTGAATAATTTTACATTTCTTTTTATTTTGTTATTACTATAAGATGTATAACTTACTTTGTTTCTATCTATCAGTATCAAAATAAAGAGGAGTGAACATCCCAAGACTTATTCCATGGTCATTCTCGTGACCATTTCGGCCAGAAATTCAAAAAGCCACCGCACACGAATGTGATGCAGCACCTTTTGGTAATACAGTGACCAACGTTCAAAAGGAAGTACTGAAAATAAAACACGGATCAATATAATTCAGTGGGACACGATCTTACTAGTCTCCCAGAATCGGGAGTTCATCTGAGTACCCCTTTTAATCAATATAAACAAAGTTTCCCCTCATTGTTCAATCTGTTTCTTGTGTCTTTCCCTTATAATATTATCATCGCCCTTCTTTCTCGAACTATTTCTAATGTAATATTTCTTTGTTATCATCAAGATTTCCCCATTTTAAAACTAAATTATCTGTGTACAGCATTTTTCTTTCTTTGAGTCCATGTTCAGGGGCGGATTGGGGAGGGGGCGGATCGCCACCACCCCCCCCCCCACCCATTTTAGAAAGTTAAAAAAAAAGAAGAAAAAAATGATCGCTCAGAGGTTATTTTCAGTCGTCTAGAAAACACAAATTTCAAGATAACACCCCCAAGGATGGTGTTATCTTGATCGGTCCCACTTTCGGACATCTCTGGATCTGCCCTGATGTTTAAAGCCATACTCTACTGTAGAATATGTGTATTTTTAGTTCTCTATTTGTTTAAAAACATTATATTGTTTGTGTTCTCATCTCCTGTTCACTCTTATTTATTCATATATATTATTTTGTATGTATTTGATATCTTGAATTAGCGCCCCTCAACTGATCATCGAGGCCCCGGCCAACTTCACCTTCGTGCCCCACCCCACCATTCAAGACTTCTAGATACGCCACTGACGGTGCGCAATCAAAAATCCAGTAGGGATCCAGTAGGGATTGTTGCCAGTAAATTTCAATGCATATAATGCTATGTGCTACTTAATTTTCTATTCTGAACTGTTGTACTGCCCCCCCTCCCCCGTAAAAGATTAGTCCCTGTCTCTTATACACATCTAGATGTGTATAAGAGACAGCACCTGGATCACCTGAGCTAAAAGCTGCTTCTTGTTTGTAATGTTGGTGAAGGTGGGGGTATTTCTTTTTACCTCCAGTGTTACCGCGACTAACCAAATTATTTAGCCTAGATAGCAGGCCTACACCTATATACATAAAATATTAAAAACCTAAAAATGCCGAAATGGAGGAAAATCTTCCACATTTACACCTGTCACTCTCCTGGGACCCCCAGACCAGGGAGCAACTCCCTGCCCAGACTGACACTGTCTACGGAAGCAGATGATACAATATTGTAGCTTAGTCAGCGCCTCAAATGAAATACTTTACTGTAAATGTAATTCAACAAACCTGAAAAAATCTGGACCAAATAATGATACCTGTGTAATGTATTACAATTGGACAATTTAGGCTTGAATATTATCAACCTTATAATTGTTCAACCGACACAGTAGCTTCTTTTATCGAATTAGGTGGTCTATGATGGTCGAATCAACATACTAATCACAATGCTATGAACTACTAGCTATTTTAGCACCATGACGTAAATTACCACGATAAAACAGATAACAGATAAGGTAAACAATTTCCGAAAAAACGACAATACACTGAGGATTTTATTTCCTGATTATTAAAAAGAAAAACCAAATTAAAGAAGCACGCCATCTATAATAATACAATAAAAATTGAACTTTGACATTAGAACTCGGGATCAACATGGCAGGTTTTACGGAAGATGGGGAAACACTGGAGACATTATTAAGTAAGTGCATTTATAATTACGGATTTTTGTTACAAATATACGTCTCCATATGATTCCTTGATTTGATAATTGATGGTTAGTTTCTAGGTTTTAGGCTAGGCCTACGCCTAGTTTGAAAGTCTAGCCTAGGTTGTGATCGTTGAGTCGGGATTGAGCCCATCCGCCCGTCCGTAAGCGTCGTCGTGGCCAGTTCCACACTGCATTTACAGACAGTAGCCTAGGCCTAGGAATTCCTAGGCCTGGGTATAATATAACTTATGAGAATAACGATATGATGACTTTCAAATAAGGACATAATAATGACAATGCTTAATGAGTTATAGACATATTAAATATATATTCTTTTATAGATTTAAATATCATTTTGACAATGTTGGACAATAAGGTGCACAAAACGAACATTTGAGTAGATACGGAAAATTTTTTTTTTTTCTGCGAAATGAGTCTCATGAACGACAATACATCGGTAAAATTAATGTTGAAATAAAAAATATAATTTCAGTCTAATGTTATTGCAAAATATCATTATTAGGCCTTTGTAATCACTGCACATTGTACGATTACTGTATCATGGCAACTAACACGCGCATGGGTACGCTGACGTTTAATTATGGCTGGTTTTTGTGACGTACAGCGTGTAGGGACGTACGTGCGCCTAGAATGTCGATGCCAGAGTTATAACCTTTGATGTCCCAAGATTGTGCGTCCTTTTGTTGAATTGCCTTGCTGTATATTAAAATTTGTGGTAATTTTCTAGTTGTGAAAAAGATTAGTCCATCAGATATACTAATAACATCATGATCAAATGCATCATTACTTTTTTTTTATTTTTGCAGATAAAGCAACAAATCCAACAAATAGAGATGATGATTGGGAGTACATCATGGCATTTTGCGATCGTGTTAACAAAGAACATGAAGGGTAAGTGTTTAACCGCTGAATGAAATATTGAAAGAATTTCATTTAGCTTGAATAATTGTATAGATGACAAATTTTCGTTTTTATAAAGCCAACGTGGAAATGGAGTACTTACTCAGAACGTTTCGATCCCTATTTGAGATCTTCATCAACCTTCGACCTACATCCGGAGAAGGCGTACGACTTCATCAACAGATGACGTCATGACCAAGCTAAGTAACACCTAGCTGTCAGTTGATAAAGATTTCTGATAGTGATCGAAACGTTCTGAGTAAGTACTCCGTTTCCATTTTAGCTTTACAAAAACAAAAATTTGTCATCAATTAATGAAATATGTCACAGTCACATATTCCCATCAAACCTGGACAAAGTAACAAGTTAACATGTGGAGAAAATAAAAAACTTAGTGGTCAAAAAATTATCTGATATTTTGTCTGTAATTTTCATATACTATCAGTCAATCATCTGAAAAATGTTAACAGGTCTTGTATTTTTGCCAGCTAATCAATTATTCTAGTAAACCGTCTGTAAATCATTAAAAGCTAATTTTTAAATTTGATCTGTGACCAATTAAAAGTGGTTTTACTAATCATTGTTAAGTTTTTTCCCTTTTTTGTGTGGCAGTATATCATAAATTACCAAAACTTGTTGGTTGTATCTGTTAATTATTTACTTGCAACAGGCTGCAGCTTTCTTTGCACTGTACTAGTCAAATATATGACCCTTATTGAACATTGCTAATTTGTGACATACAACCTACTGTACAACATATGAGGCTTGCCATACTAAAAACCAGCATTAGTGGCCAAAAAATGAAAATTGACTTTTTAATATATTCATATTCTCGCTTTAAAATATGATGGGTCTTTTTACTGGAATCAACTTATATATAAAAAATATGAGTATACATCTTCTGTACTATAATGTATACAATACTGTCACATTTTATGCTAATTACAGTCAGGTCTTCAAAATAATAACAGTGCATGAATGTTTTAGTATATTTCACATAATAAGATTTCAATTTTATTAGAAATTATATTTTGTGTCCTTCCTCACACCCTCTCCAACCCCCAGACCTCAAGTTGCAGCTCAGCTTCTCAGCCACAAGATTCAGTCACCGCAGGAAAGAGAGTCTCTGCAAGCCCTCGCAACTACTGAAGCTTGTGTAAAAAACTGTGGCGAGTTCTTCCATCGTGAGATTGGTAAATTCAGATTTCTCAATGAGCTTATTCGACTTATATCCCCAAAGGTAAGTTTAATCGATATAACTTCATAATGTCACCATTTTATTTTCTCCCACATACAGTACTACTGTAGATTTTAATTACAGTGCACCCTATAATTCCAAACCCCTCTAATTCCGAGACCCTTCCCCCTCTAATTCAAGACTACTTTTCCAAAGAACCAAAATACAATTTTCAATCTTAAAATACATAACTAACCCTCTAATTGGAGACCAAACCCCGAGATCACCCCAAATTTTCATGCCCTAAAGGTCATCTTGATTTGGAGGGAGTTTTTAATTATTATTATATTATTATTATTATTATTATTATTATTATTATTATTATTGTTATTATTATTATTATTATTATATTATATTATTATATTTGTGAATAGTATCTAGGAGGTAAAACAAAGGACAGTGTAAAGAAGAGGATCATTGAATTGATATATTCATGGTCAAAGGGCATTCCAGACCAACCGAAAATTAAAGAAGCCTACGATATGCTGAAGAAGCAAGGATTAGTGAAGGAAGATCCAACATACATGGACAAAATACCTCTAGATGTTGGACCACCAAGGCCTAAGCAAGCTGTTTTTGAAGATGAGGATAAGTCAAAGGTGGGAAGAGGTTTTAAGCTATTAGAATTGATTGATTGATTGATTGATGGATGGATTGTTTCAATGGCTGACAGATTGATTGATTGATTGGTTGATGAGTAATAGATTGATTGATTGATTGGTTAGTGCATGAATCTGATGAACCACCCAACTTTACTGCATAACGAACACATACAGATGCAAACATTGTCTTTAACCCACCTAACTCTCAATATGAGGGTTATTATAGCCTGGTTCTCACAAGAGCCCTAGCACCCAGATCGGGAGCTAACCGTTAGCACTAACCATTAGCACCTGCATGAGAACGCCCGATCGGTTAGCGCTAACCGTTAGCAGTATCCGGATGCCGTTAACGGTTAGCAAGCGCTATCGGTTAGCAAGTTGAGTGTGTTTCTATCATCAACCAATCACACGTAAGCATTTACAATTTCCAGTTTCTTATTGGCCAATGATTCGATCATCATATTTTTGGTATCCGGATCGGGATTTTCTCGTATGGACGCACGGCAGCTAATGGTTAGCAGTATACGGATCCTGCTAACTGTTAGCGAGAACATAGCAAACAAGAGCCAAGTAATCAGACTCCTTTTAAAACCCATTTGCTGGCTAGGTTTGAACTGGGGTCTTCATTATAAGGAGAAAGAACCTCTCATGCAACTGCTCAATAATTTGTTCTGATACGTTTCAGCTGCTTGCTCGTCTGTTGAAGAGTAAACATCCAGAGGATTTGCAGGCAGCCAATCGGCTCATTAAGAACATGGTGAAAGATCATGAAAAGACGGTTGAGAAGGTCAGTCACCGATTGAATGAGATTGAAAAGTGTACAAATAATGTGAAACTACTGTCAGAGATGTTGGAACACTACACTCCAGAAGTCACTAGTCCACAGGAGAAGGAGCTTATGAAGGTAGTATTCAAGTTTTACATATACGAATACGAATAGTGTAAAGCTACATAGACACGATAACGACACAATGACATATCATCGCGTTATTTATATTCTTCAACACTGAGCGCATTTTTATCGTGTCGTCGTGTCCTTATCGTGTCTAGTGTAAGTGTAGTTTCGTTAATTAAAGAAATACACAACTATTTTGCATGTAAAATATGATCGACTCGGAAACTATTCGAGTTAGGTAAAGTTGACTTTAGGCAAGTTTAACTGTACAGTATATGTTAATTGATTCTATTCATAATTTATAAACATACTTTTTTTCTTAGGAATTGTATATATCATGTGAGAAAATGAGGCCTAATTTATTTCGGCTTGCAAGTTCTACAGATGATAAAGAAGATGGAATAGGTAAGATAATAAGTATAGTAAAGAAATGTGATTTTTTTTTAAAGTCATTCTATGCTTCCATTCCTCTTAGTTAATGCAATTTATAAAGGTAGGAGAATAACCCATAACTCGCAGCGTCATTATGCTGAATTGCGTATGGGTGTCGTCCGTGACTACCCAGCCGCCATAAAGAGGTGCGCGAAGTAGCACCATGCTGATATTAAACTCCACAATTTACTGTATTTGGTCTTGAATTAATACAGTATAATTTAAAACACAAAATATCTATTTTAAATTCCTTAATATTTTTTACAGGTGAAATTTTGGAAGCAAATGATAAATTAACAAAAGTGATGGAATTATATCGTGCAAAGATCGGTGAAGTGATCGTAGCGGAAAGCTCTGACAGTAGTAGCGTGCATGGGGTAGGGGATGCACATCAACGAGGTCAAGGTAATAATCTTGCACTTTTATAGTTAATTTCATTCTTTCCTACTTTTGTTCATGTAGAATTTTTTGAATTATCAATTGGGATACTGGGTTTAGGGTGAGTCGGGGATGCAGTCTAAAATTTTTGAGTCTCAATACATGGGCTGTAGGGTGAAGGCAGAGATGTTTACAAAATGTGTTTTTTTTTTATATTATTTTTTTTTTTTAGTTATATTCTGTTAAGTTATTTTTTATAAGTTTGATGTGTTAAGTTTTAATTTACAGTACTTGGTTTTGTTTTTCTTTGGATGCACCATTACATACAAGTGCCACTGTTGTGAAAATGTTGTTTCCAAATACAGAATAATATATAATTAACTGTAATACTACTACTGTATTACTATTTTATATATGTGAATGTAGTTTTTGTTTTTATCATTTTCTCTTAGTTTTTGAAGAATATTATTTCACATTTAACTAGAATTACACAATACTTTCTCCAGCAGAGCTGATTTTGATTTCAAATGAATTATTTCATCAGTCATATTCTTAATTAAATGTTTAATTAAATTCTGTCATGATTCTGTTCCTTAATAGGTGGTGACAGTTCATCATTGATTGATCTAGATGGACTAGACTCTACTCCAGCAGCTTCAAATGATTTGACAGTCTTGAATAGTTCATATGTATCAGGCTCTGGTGCAGTGGTGTCTGGAATTGCCCCTAATCAGAATTCTGTTAGACAACCAACTTCGGATGCTTTGCTTGAGCAACAGCTTTCTTCACTAGGTGAGCATTTCTTTTCTGTGAATAATTATTTTATAAATAATTATTGGCTTTGATATAACACTTACCAAATCTAATACTTGAATCACACAAGACAAAAAGTTACACAAGGTGTTATCTAGAAATCGTCCCCTAGTACATCGCATCAACATTATATATTAGCATGCGTCCCATATAATATCCATGTAGAAAAATGAACAAAGCAGGTATTTTTTATTTGATTTAACTATACTTCTTTTTTTTAGGTCTTGGAGTTGGTGGGGGAGTAGGAACAGTTCCTGTAACAACTCAATCTGCTGCTGCAATGCAACTAGATGCTATTTTAGGAACTGGCATCACTCCTTCTACTACTTCAAATTTTGCCACATTTCCACCAGTTCAGCAGGCTGTAAGTCCATTAGTTACAATTTCATATGTGTAAATTTTAAAAACCTGGCTTAAAATGATGGTACATAAGTTTGGTGTAGATTCTCAATATTCAGGTCAAGGTTCAGATCCCATTTCACATTGCAGGTGTAGAGTATGTATCGTTCAGCCACTTGACTTGCCCAGACTTGCCCAAATGTAAAGCGAAAAAAGAGTAGTATGATTTTTGTGTTATAGTATTTTATCCATAATTGAAATTCATTTTCACAGAGTGGGTATAACCAACCCAGTGTCAACATGGTACATCCATCTATGATAAGGCATCAAACAGCGCCCTCTATGGCACATCCAATGAATTCTTCAACTCAGATCACCGGCTCACTACTATCAGGCTCTACATCCGTATTCAATAACCCACCAGTAGAGAAATCCAAGGCAGAGAAGCCACCGCCGGCACTATCATCCAAGGCCTTTGCTGAATTGGAATCACTTGGTAAAAGCATGATGGTTGGTCAGAATGCAGCAGTAACCACAGCGCAAGTATCAAGAACAAAGTAAGTTTGTGTAGCATGTCAACCGTCAATTATGAGTAAATGCAGAGCCTGGTCCATATTATCAAATTTTCTTTGACAAAAAACTATCGTATGCCCATATATAGTCATGATGTGCCAATATGAGGCTGACCATTCCAGTACCAGCGTACTGACGCCAATTGTTAAATTGAGTAATAAGCATAAGAATGTTGCACTATTGTATAGTGTAGAGAACTCATGCTTTTTTTGGGATGACAAGCCTCATATATGATCTCATGATGTGATGTCATCATGACCATATTCAGGCAGGTCACAGACCTTCATATGTAGCTGAATATTATACTCGTAACAAAAATCTTAATACTTAATATAGTGCACATATTAAAAGCACTAAATGACATATTATCTGTGTGCTGTATTTGATTACTTTAGTAATAATTGCCCCTCTATCTGGTGCTAGTTATGAATAACAAAATATAGATTTAATATGAATAACATAAAATTTAGGATGCCTGTTTGTTTTGTACTAATAGTAGTAGTAATTAATAATAATCAATAATAATAATAATAATTAATGATTAATATTATTAATGATAACATGATTTGTAAATAATAATAACTAGTATTTTGAATTTGTCAGTAAGATGATAATGTTCATATAAATGTAGTGTTTTTGTAATTTGTGCTTTTCTGTGACTTTTGTTGTAGTATTTTCATGTTTGTTACTAACAGGTTGGCCTTTTGGATTGATGTGAAGTTTTTATACCGAATAAATAAATTTTAAAAAGAATCTTTTATATAATGATTTATTTAACTTCTATTATCATGAATAGCTCCAGTTCCTCAGATGTGGACTCATTATTACTTTCAACTGGTCCAAGCCTCCCATCACCTCAAATCACTTCACCACAGCCAATGTCTCAGCTGCCAACACAGCCGATATCAACCACAGGGCCTAGCCTACTGCAGCCAGCGCAGTCATTGTCACAAGCACCGAAGCAGACGATGATGCAGAGTAAACCATCGGGGGTAGCTGCCACTGTCCTGTCTCTTGCTGATATCTTTGTTCCTTTGGATTCGATTCAACCAGGTATAAGTTGTCTCAAAAATGTTCATTGTAGCAAATCACTGATGTAAACAATTGATACAATTTTTTACTTTTTATTTTTTTTTTTGGATCCAAGGATGATATTACAAGGCAGTAGTTAACATGACATCATCATGCTCATGATATCCTTATTCTGTTTTTTATGTACTATGTATTGAGAGCTTGCTTACTCGTGCTATCTAATAATGAACTATGATTATTATCATTATTATTATTATTATTATTATTATTATATATGGGCACATCACACAAATTTTTGTCACACAGAATGTGATAGTATAGACAGAGCTTTAACCAAGGGAGTAGGTCTAAAAGTACACATGTTGTAGACACACCTATAATAATAATAATAATAATAATTGTTGACTTTTATAGCACATATTGTAGACTAACCTCTATGCGCTTTACATTATTACCCCTGGTCACTGGATCAAGTACATGGAACACAACACTCATGCCCCATAATGTTGCAGCTGTAATCAGCGCATGGTTGTGTTTGAACCTACCAGGTACCCACTTTTACTCCTGGGTGGAGAGAGACAACCACAGATGAAGTGCCTTGCCCAAGGACACACGCGACTTGCACAGCGAGAGTTTTGAAACCCTCGACCTCAATGTTGGGAGTCCAAGCCACAACTGATGCGCCAACCACACCTACAACATCTCTGTTAATTTATTTAAATACTGATTTGTTTTTATTTTATATCAGGGGTGACTCCACCATTAACTGTATACGAGAAGAACAATGTTAAGACGGTGTTCCATTTTGCCAAGGATAGTCCAAGACCAGATATACAAGTGCTTGTGGTATCCACAATGAGCACCAACACATCCCCAATCAAGGGGGTTGTTTTCCAGGCTGCAGTTCCAAAGGTTAGAATATAAGTACTTATTGATATAGACAACCCATTATGCTGATGGTTTATTTTTTTGTTTGTGTGTGGAATTTCTTCTTCAATGAGAGATTTAACTTTGTTATGCTTTACTGCCTCTACTTATTTACCTTATCCTGTTTATGTGTATATTTCCATTATTTGTACTATTGGTTAGGCCAGTAAAGAAACGAAAAGAAAGTAAACAAAACAACATTCAAGATTTGGTCCTGAAACAAAGAAGCCAGTTCCTAGGACCACTTCAAAGGTTGGGGAATGACATAGGTGAAGATAACTTTTACCCAAAAGTATTGAGATTGTAACATGTTGGCGAACTCCGCTTGTTTGGGTTTTAAACCAAAAATATTCCACAAATGACCTTTTTTTTTTCTTTATTGATTTAATGGGTTTTTTTTTCAGACAATGCGTATTAAGCTCCAGCCCCCGTCAGCCACGGACCTACCAGTGCATAACCCCATTTTACCCCCTAGTGCAATTACACAAGTCATGCTGGTAGCCAATCCTCAGAAGGTAAGGGAATGATTACATTTTGATTCATTTATTTATTTTAGCCACGTGGGTCAAAGGTTGTCAATGAGTTAGCTGATCTTAAAACTAATATATATTTTATATTATGTTGTTATATTATGCTTTTTGATCAGTAGTAATATTGTAACTTTTGGTATTAATATTTAATCATTATTATTTTGTATTAATTTTCTGTAGGAGAAGATCAGATTAAAGTTCAAGTTACAGTACACAATGGATGGTAAAACAGTTGTAGATGTTGGTGAGGTGGATAAGTTCCCATCATAACAAGAAATCAACAGCCAACACAGAGAGAATATATTCAAGACAGATTTTATTTTATTTTTTATTTTATTCTGTCCAATCAATGAATCTTAAAAGTTTGAATGAATTGTAAACAATGTAAATTAATGGATGTTAGTTGGTTTATTGTCATCTGTATCTTCACTGTCATTTCACAATCATTGTCATCATCAGTATTGTCATCATCACCATTGTTCTCATCATCATCTGAGCATCATTATCACAACCATCACCTTTTTATTATCATCATAATCTTATTGTCATTTGTTCTGAAAGAACATAGGTATATGCTTTCCTCTGTTGACAATCCACATAGGCAAAAACTTAAAACAAGAACTAAACAAAGTAAAATATTATTATTAAAAGTGAAAATTTCATTTTTATTCCACTGCGTTTAGCTGCATAGCACATTCCAGATTTGTTCACAATTTATGATACCAAACATTTTTTTGCCTGCTAAAATTTTACCCAGAAAATAATAAATTAGTAAAATTCAGTTGGGAAAAACGATTATACATGTATATTAACTTCAGATCATGAATATGCATGAGATTTATGTGAATATTAATAATTTTCTTTATATATCTTTCTACTCCGGGGTAAGCTAAGAATATTTTTTTTGTTGTAATTATTTACTTTTATAATGTGTTGCTCCTTTGATCAAGGATTGGAATTGGTGCCCTATAAATTATTATTAAATTAACAAAATGAAGTATAAGATGCTTAATAGTCTTAATGTGAGGTGTAAGCAGTTACTTTTACTTGTGGTGTAAATATCATTCAAGGATCTGAACCCAGGAACTTGGGTTGGATGACAAGCACCCTGATCACCAAATAGCAGCTTTCCTCCATCCATTTTTAATCTTATTTCAAATTTAGCTTTAAATAGAGCTTTTGCATTATTGATGCTGATGTTTACTTAATTTTGTATGGGGATATATATTTAGGGTGTAGTAATTAAAATACCACTTCATTTTTGTGTGGTTTAAGATTGTATAATTTATGGTATAGATGTATTGTAGAACTGGTATTATATCTGGGCCAAGTTTGTAGATGAAGTTAGTGTAACTTGAAAAGCGCCCCCACCATCTCAACTTTAATATAGAATATGACATGAAACAACTCACAGCAGAGCAAATATACAGAACTATGGATGTTTTTTTGTTAAGAGGGATGTATAATAAAGCTCCAATTGGAATTGCCGGTTTTCCACTAGGCGATTTTATTTGCGTGAAGTGAAAGCACTTGACCGCAAGTGTACACAGCTTAATTTTGATGCTCAGGTTGTTCACTTTTTTGCTTGTGGTAGTTCGCGTACTTCAAGCGAAAATAATGCTCAGCCACTCGGAGCTCGGGAAAAGATTTAATCACGTAAATGACCGCACAGTCGGATGAATGAACGTATGTGTACAAATAGCACGCCGACCCTTCATTGGTAATGCGAAAAATGTGTATCTCAAATCTTTTCGTTCATTTAGTGGAAAATGAGAAAGCCTTGCATGTTTTTGGTTTTTTTTCGCAGCAAAATGACACTGTTAAATGTATGTAAACACATGCTTTTATGAAGTGCACATATCACTAGTATTGTTCTGATTGTTCAGTTAAGTTTGAGATTCTGGAATGGTCCATTGTATATGTTATTTTTTATTGGTCAAATGATAATACTATAAGAAGTAATTGCAGGTTTGCAATGTATTTATCATTCAATATTTTGAACATTGTACAGATAATTTACTCCTGTCAGTGATATACAATTACCAGTATACAGACCAAGAGACGAAATACTGAATAATCAACAATCCCAAGAGATATGAAGTTGATAAAGCCAGACAAACATATCCAGAGCTTTCATGTACTACTGCTAGTCATATGTCTTAGTGTTGATTAGCAACATGCTACCACTAGTCATAAATTATATATATATATATATATATATAGATATATATATATATATATATATATATTGTTCTGATTGTTCAGTTAAGTTTGAGATTCTGGAATGGTCCATTGTATATGTTATTTTTTATTGGTCAAATGATAATACTATAAGAAGTAATTGCAGGTTTGCAATGTATTTATCATTCAATATTTTGAACATTGTACAGATAATTTACTCCTGTCAGTGATATACAATTACCAGTATACAGACCAAGAGACGAAATACTGAATAATCAACAATCCCAAGAGATATGAAGTTGATAAAGCCAGACAAACATATCCAGAGCTTTCATGTACTACTGCTAGTCATATGTCTTTGTGTTGATTAGCAACATGCTACCACTAGTCATAAATTATATATATATATATATATATATATATATATATATATATATCAAGATAGCCAGTAAACATTGTTAATATATCGTCAAAGAAAGGTAAATAGTGTTCGAATATAGGACGTAAATACATTGTGAGCATAGCTCTCAACGAATGTTGTCCTATTAAAATAAATTGTGTAATAAAATGTCTCTCCGACGGGATTCGAACCTGGGACCTCTCGCTGTCAAGGCGAACATCATAACCATTAGACCACAGAGGCTTCATGGTTGAACAGATTAAAATAACATCAGATACACACACACACACATATATATATATATATATATATGTGTGTGTGTGTGTATATATATATATAGGCCTAATGTATGTATACAGCAGTATATAACTATTCAGTATGTATATATTGTGTGCAGATATCTAATTAACACAAAAAATATGTATAAAAGACAACCTTGGTTGTAGAGATGTTTAAATCAGACCTTTATTAATACTACCATGCTTATCTTTTATTTTATACTTGGAAGATTATAACAACTTTATTACAAATTTGTGTTTTTAATCTGTTGCTTATAATTATGTAGTATTATAACACCAGTCCACTATGATGATGTGTTTGGTCTGTGAGGTGCAGTATCCATAATGATGATGTGATCGTTTCTATAAGTGCAATCTTGCAGCAAGTTAGATGTTTCTTTGTAGCGGGGCCTCGAGACAAGAAATAACATCAAGTAAAGTTAAATCAATAATGTTACAATGGAAAACAATATTTTGATTTACTCTTAGTGTCTGTAATCATTTTAATCAGAGCCCATGCAAACCCTCAACATGGGCTCTACCCCGCTGGATACTTCAGACAGTCCCCACATTTGAGGTGAAGATGGGTTTCTTTGTTCTTGTGTTAGTTTTCAAGTTCATAATGGTATCTTTCATTTTCCCTCTGGTGCAATGTTGCAGCAATATAAATATGATCATTGTTGTCTATTGTTGAAATAACAAACTAAAATGTTTTGGGGGGATAAAATAAAAAATAATAGATAAGATCAGCCTGAAACACCATTGCCAAATGGGCATGCTTCTCAAGTATGCAGATAGTTGTATTCTTCAAAATGAGAAATAATAAACACAAACATCAAGGTACTACATCAACAGTTGGTCTTTATTATTCATCCAAGTATTCATTTTAAAATTAGAAAATATATAACTTTCCTTATAAAATAATATAACCCTTATATATGTTTACTCTAACATTGTAATTTAAATATATTAGAAAAAGATTATCCAATCCTGTATTAATGACTAAACTCCCAAATTATACACCAAACAAGTTCTTAAAGGCAATTAGCATCAACAGATCACATTGTGTATCTGTGGAGTAGTTCGGACAGACCAAGAGTTTTCACATTTGGGAAACTGGTGTCCAAACCTAAGATTTAGATAATATTTTAACCAAATTTAATATTTAATCATTCAGGATTAATATTATAGTACTGATGATTTTATTATTATTATTTTTTAGTTTTTGTTGTAATGCAGCGCAAGAGTGAATATCATAATATACTGTTGAGATGTAATTCCACTGTGGTTCATTGGTTAGGTTACCTTGTAATTGCAAGTTCTATGGATTAATCATGTTAAAAACTATTCTCCAAACCTCATAGTCTTGGTTACAAGAGGCTTGAGAGGGTCCCAAATGGAAGCCTTTACAGATGGTTATAGAGCATTGAGGGCCTAAAACGATCACTCTTTCCTGCCTAAAGGGCTCCCTAGCCTCACATGAGAGGTAATTGAGTATTAAGAAGCTTTGTTGAATGGTTGATCCCAATACAGTAAATGGAAAATATAAATGACTGAGAATTTTGCTAGTTGTAACCAAAGAGTATAGAATTGCAAGAGAGTGCCTTGATTTTGCATGCGCGCAATGAAACGAAAAACAAAATACTACCACGAGATGAAGGGGGGGGGGGCGGCCTATTAGAATTTGAATATCAAACATGCATTCTATAGATGCTGCACACAATCGATACAAACACCTTTTATGTTCATTTAAATGACGCTCTCTATTTCGTGATATTACTTTTCGCAGTAGAATTGCATTTCAACAAAACCCCAAGAGTTGGACCTTTTTCAGTTCCATACTCTTTGTTATAACTGTCGGCAACTTCTCCTCTTTCCAGTCTTTTGCAAAGTAGAAAAAAGAAAGGGAAATACAGTAATTGATCGTCCAAAGGCCTCACAGGTTATTTTCCGGCGTCTAAAAAACAAAAATTTCGCGGGAGCATTCCCAAGACCCCCTGGATTAGTGTTGCCTCGATCGGCGCCACTTTCATCCCCCCTTTGGACCCCTGGTCTGTATTGTAATTTTAGATGGCAATTGGAAGGAATGACATGATAATGCAGGCAAAGGCAGCACCAATTAATACATTCACCATAAACCTCCACAACTTTGACTCTTTCCGGCGATGACCATGTCTGACATAATATTGCACAATGTCTTTGATGTCGCGCTTCATTGGTTTGTAACCTAGGTGATTACAAGCTTTATCTATATTGAAGTAGTGGGCCACTGATATTTGGTAAAGCTGAAAAAAAAATAATGCACAAATCAGTAAATGATTGGTGACATAACGCAAGAATTATTTTATACCTTGTTTCGCAAACTTATTTTTACTAAAAAATACTTATTTTTTACTAAAAATAAAATTTTGTTTTCTTATTTAGCAAATAGTTTGCTAAAATGAGGCATGTTGTGGCAAAATGGCTAAGTTGTAGCAAAAATTGAAATTCAAGTTATTTGTATTTTCAGATACTGGAGTATGTGATCTTTAAAACGAGGGGTCATTCATTGAAATTCAACATTTCAAGCCTAAATTGTTGGAAAGTGAAAGTACAGTACTCTTAGAATCAAGATAAACATGATTTTGAGTAATTGCCTTTCAAAGTTATTTGTGCATACATTGTTTAATAGAATGAGCTATCAAAATAACTTTATATAAACAACTTGTTGACCACTTCCAGAACTAATACTTTGGGACATGATTAATAAGACATTAAACTGTTGATCTATAGTAAAAAACAAATTTGGATTTTTAGGCAATTTTTTGAGCTCCCATATTTTATCGCTCATTTACTCAATACTGGCCTGTGCGACAACTTAACCATTTTGCCACGACATGCCTCAAATATCTAGACAGAAAAGAAAATAAAATTTGATTGTTGAATGTAAACAGTGTAGTAATGGGATGGTTAAATGCTTTAAATTTATATAAATAGGGAGAAATATACATATCTTATTTTAATCAAAATTAAGAAAAACATTTTTTTTCCCTCATATTTCTATTCCTTCTACGGCGGCAAGTGTACTAATTAGTCAAAAGTAAAATTTCATTTTTATTTTATATTATCATTATTTGCAATCGGCGAATTCAATAACCAGAGTATAGAAAAAGTCTTACCTAAAAAGCAGTATGTGTAAAAAAAACATCAAAATATGCCATTGAAATGTCAAAATGTGGGTGCAGACCACACTGACTCTAACTAGCCCCTCACTGCCCCTCCTCCCCCGCCCACCCAATGGTAGTATTACTAATTGATCCCAAATGGACTACATCTGCCTGGTTTAAAACAAACATAAGGCCTAACATATTACCTCTGTCCTGGTCAGGAAAGGTTGAAAATGATAAACAGGTTTTATCAAAAAATGAACCCATTCCAGTACCAATACTAAAAAATAAAATTGTGAAGAAAATGTATTAAAAAATCAACAGATTAAGGGAAACTTCCATGCTCCGTAAAACTTGCATTAAATTAAAAAGCATGCAACCAGAAGTATTGAAAGAAATTAAAACCTTCAAAGGTTTTACCTTTCTCATCATGTACCGTGTCATAGGACCCCTTTTGCGATCATGAATTTCTTTCTGTTACCTGTTTTCTTAAAATTATACTGACTACATAAATAGAAACCAAAGGAAATTATTTGAACATTTACTTTAATTTAACCATAATTATAAACTAAAATAGAATCACTGAGCTGAATTCATGAGCTAGTGAACAGATCTTTACCAACTTACCTATTAAAAACACAAGTACAAATGGTAAATTTATCCTAGGAAATGTATAGCCAAGACCTTCTATAAGTGGACGGAAGAATTCCCAATTGTTAACTGGATCACCATCAGTGATAAAATAAACTTCACCTGCCTAGCAAATAAAAAAGTAAATTTGGAAATTAGAGTTGGTTGACCTGACGCTAGAGGTTCAATATTTTGGGTCGTCATGCTTGGGCAGTTTCTTTTTCACAAACATTCTCAGTATGAATAATAATATAGGAAGCACACTAAAACAACAATACTCTAAGGGGTCCGGAGGGCATGCCCTTGCGAAATTTCTGTGTTCTAGATGCCCAAAAATAACCTTTGAGACCTTTTGGGCGATCATTTTTTTCTTTTTCTTTCTTTATCTTTTTTTTTTTTTTTTTTGGACTTTCCGGCCTGGCCCCGGCCCCCTTTAAATCTGCCGCTGCATGTTTTAACTTACTGATCGCTGTTTCTTTTGCTGCGTTAGGGCATCTCCTGCTAGTATATGAGCATTCACAATATTATCAACATGAACAAACTCAACTAGTGCCTCCAAGCCGCCTATTGTAAATAACAGCTGCCCAGCTTCCATTGCACTCTAAAAAATTGAAAAATAATAATCTAAATATTTTTATTCTATTTATTCATTTTGGCAGACAATTACAAATTAACAATATACATATAAAAGTATACATACAGAAAATGTTAATGTTGATTTTATAATTTCAATTTCTTAGAAATTGTATTTACCTATTTGTACTTTGTATAGAATGCTTTATTACATACCACAGCCCTGGGAAAATGCCTCCTCTCCCCCACTCCATACAAACCAGGGGGTCTCAAAGCACAGGTGTGTAGTACATGTCCACCTGTAAATCAATCAGTACTATGAATAATTTTTTAAATACGTTGAATTTTTAATTAAAGAAATATGTATTTACGTAGTCTTAAAAAGTCAATACAAAATGTTTATGAAAAAGTTTCAGGTTAGTATCCCAGTGGAGGCTGATTGTTTTATATGTACAGTATTCTTGTCATAGTTATTCAAATGGTAGGTTTAATAAATTATTTATCTTATGGTTCAAGTGTTGGTACAATTTATCATTACATTTTTACCTTCAGTCTTTCTGCCATTAGCTGCTAAAACATTCTTCTCAGCGATACATTTTGTTCTTGAGTAGTCATCAGTAAACTAAACAAATATAACAAATAAATATCAATAGAAAATTAACTATTAAAGACTATTTTTCAAAATTCTGAACATAAACTTCATGTGATCAGGAATGGTATTCTCCCCAGGGAGCTGAATATGTGTGACTCTCACATCCACATTACACATGAGTACCTCAGCAACCATCACTTGTCAAAACTTATTGCGTTGCTAGTTGTAATTCGTTCTTTTGACCATAGGCAACCATGAGAAGGTAGAAATGTAAACCCATGGTCAACTCATGATGAACCTGGTTACTTTGTTCAGGTTCAGAGCAATTTCAAGCCAGGTGCGAGTCATCTATGAACATTACAAATTTCTGAACCGGACCAAGTCCAGTCTGGTTACGCTTCCTAGCCATAAAAAATGACTGGTGTCATGTTGAAATTGTTTATTAATTATGCAATATCTAAAAATTGTATTGAAATATAGGTAATACCTCTTCCAATGGTAACACAGGACATGTTTCCTCTGTAGCACCTTCAATAGGTTTGCCTCCAAACACAACAGCTATAGAGCTAGTGTAAACCAGGCGTGGGACATTGTGACGACAGCAAGCTATTGTAGGCAAATAAGGAATGAACAGTTAACATTGAACAACAAATTATTGAAAGTAGAATATTCCAAAACAAGGAATGTCATTGGCGGATCTGAGGGGGTGTTGTAAAATGCTTAATACGTCAGATGTATAGCAGATTGCTATAAGCCATCTTTAGACGGTCTTAAAGCTTTAATTGTGATGTCACTACTGGTCTATGATCATAGACCATTGCTATGTTGTGGTCTAACCAGTTAGCCATCTCACAGGAGGCTTAAAACAGTCTTAAATCATTGTCATCATGGCATTACAGGTACTATAGACCTAGGCCCAGACCATCAAAGACTAAGAATCGAATGACGAATATTCTGCAAGCTTCTCGGAATCTGTAAAATCCGGTCTACATTTATTTACCTTCATTTTAATAAATAAGTTCTGAGCAAGCGCAACAGCGCCTCAATTTTATGTTACCAGGGAGTGCTTGTTTACGTTTCAATACTCAAAGTGGTCTAAGCAAAGACTGTTTTATAGCAATGGTCTTAGCAGAATGACTTTAGTAACTTTTTGTACTGTAATTTCAACTGTATATTGATACAAAAAAAATCAAACTTGAATCTATTTGTCAAAAATATAAAATTACCTTCGATAACATTATCTGTTCCACCAACATTTATGCTTTCAATAAAGTCTGTAGGCTTCAACTTAAAAATAAACAGATCATACAAACATTTAACATCTAATCTTTCAATTTTTGTTCATGGCAGTAAAATAGCACAGCCTGCATAAATTCACTAATACTTATTAAACACCCCTCGATTCTTGTAATTTGATTGCTGGATTTCGTATCTTGTAACATTGGTTAGATTCAATAATACTTACCATTTCAGGGCCTGACATTCCATATGAAGCCATGTGGAAGACACAACTCTTCCCTCTACACAGTTCATCAACTAGTTGCTTATTACGTATGTCACCCTATAAATGCAAAACAGAAAAGCATACTGTCAAGTCGCCAACATGGAAAGGTTTGGGCCAGTAAACCTACAACAAACTAACAGTTTGTTAGAGAAATGATTTTTAAAACATAATCCACTTGCCCACCCTCCCTCCCCAATAAGAAATTATATACTGTATACTATAGTTAAAACATACTTTTATAACCAAAATGAACATTTTCTCCAATGGTTAAGGTGGAAAAATGTAACATTGGGGACATGGGACAAATTTTTCATATGTTTTGAAAGTTGTCACCTTGTGATACAAATAGTATTTTTGCAGTATGCAGTTAGCTTGGGTTCCTGGCCCTAATTTTGGGTTACTCACTCCTTATTGCACTTAGTGTGCGGCATACCAAATTTCATTGGCATCCCATACTGTAAATTAACTTCTTTTTTCGGATTACTCTTATTCTGTCTCTAAATTAACTTTCTTGTTAGTGGCTCTGTCCAGAATGAGAAAAATAATAAAGAATAAGAGACATGTGGCAAGTCTAGTATGCAGTGAGCCCACCCTTACCTTAACTAATTTTATTTCAGGACTGAAATCTTCAATCGGAAGATTAATGTCAAATAGGGTGACATGAGCCCCTATCAAATGAAGAGCACGGCCAAGATGAACACCGAAGAATCCAGCACCACCGGTGATAAGAACATCAACATTTTCAAACGAAGATACATCTAGACTCCTGTAAGAAAGAGGTTTAAATATATTTTTGTTGGTAGGTCCATAGCACGACTAAACTAGACATCTCAAAAAGAACCTGTCTATCTTTAAAAAGGCCTTCTGTTAAGAGTCCTTACCAAAAAAAAAAAAAAAACCAATGAGCTTCTATTTTTAAGGTTTTAGAGTATGTTTTCTTTTAAATATTGAAACTCATTTTCGTTCAGTCAGGCCTAGGCCTATACCAAGCTATTGCCATAACAGTGAAAAAAATATTCATTTTCATTTTTTTTTAAGGATGATGCCAAAGTCTTTACATTTTACCCATCCATTTCCACCATGTCAATTTTACTTTACACAGACAGACAGTCACTCACTGTCTGGACCGGCATTTAGATATGATACCTATTGAGGCGTAGGCCTAGTCCCCTACTACTTCTATTTAGGCTAGGCCTAGCTTACATCCATTCACATTCCTTAGGCTAGGCCTAGTACTCTAGCCTTTTGGGCCAGCCTCATGAAAGTCTAGGCCTAGACCAGGGCACAGCCTAGATAGGGAGGCCTCCCTAGGCCTAGTTAAGGTGAGTACTGTCTGTAGGTACCCAACTCATACTGGCGTGCTAGCCTACCCCTATTCCTATCATTTATATTACCTTATAGCATCTCCAGCTCTAGACAAGTGGATTTTCTCTGAAACCATACTTTAATGACTGATTCTTATTCAGAAAGTGTTTATTCCTTATCGCATACACCGTTTGTTTATTCCTCATCGCGCGCACACACGGTTCGTTGAACCGGAACGAGCGATTAGTCATCCATCCATATCATCCAATCCATTACAGTCTATTCAGGCGGCTTTTCTTTCTGCGCATGCGCGTGCAACCTTCCGATTTCGGAGGAGTTTTTTGCCTTTCGATAAGTTTGCGTTAGCAAAGTAAGCGTGGTCTGGCGTCATTCAAAATGTTTCAAAAGTGGTCCAAGGGCGAAAAATATGACAATTAGGGGCTTTAAATGTTTATCTAATTGATTTTATAGATTTCAAAGCCTTCGCTGAATATTGTGGCAGTAAAAAAAAAAAAAAAATCTCTACTTACCTCAGCATCCTATTTTTGGGGCCTGTTCAATATTCAATTCATTCAAATTTATTTCGGGTTAAAATTACAATCAAAATTACAATCAAATGAGAATAAAAACAGAAACAAAAACAAAGAGTGCTGACAACCCAGGATAACCAAAAGTACAAAAGTGCCACTATCGTGGTTCTCCAACGCAGCACTCAACACACAGAAAACAACACAAAAGATATAATATATATCATTTGGAAAATTAAAATATTAAAAGATTGTAATATAAAATATTATTGCAAGGGATCTCATAATTATCAAGTGACCACGATGCAAAATCAGGATCAAACAGGCACATACGGAATTAATGAATCTCAACATTTTCGTTGAAAAATATTTTTGCAAGTTTAATGAAATAGTTGCTCGAGAAAAGCAAGGAGCATCTAACTTCATCAGGGATGGACACACTTTAGTAAAATTCGTAATCATCGATCTAATAATTCGCTGTGATGTACCATAGAAAATAAAACTTAATTATTGATGTATTTATTTTACTTTACCTACTTCACCAACTAATCTTTTTTTGCACGTTTTTTCTCATTCTTCTCAAATTATAATAAGGCACGCGCACTCGAGTCGTGGATTATAGGTAGGCCTAATGCAGATGTTTGTGGGCAGAGATACCGGTATGTTGCTATAAAATAAGATGTGCTGCTGTCCAGCGGTCTTTTGTTAAAACCTGGGTCATTTAAGCAGTTTATTTCAACAATTTTCAGGTAGGGCCTATCTTCTTTACTTATGAAATTGCATTGCGGACGAAAAGTGAGGGGTACGACCCCCCCCCCTTTAAATATGTCGGGGGACGTGTCCACTGCCACTATGGTCTGCGCCCTGGGTGCCCGGAAATTGCACTCTCATACCTAAAAAAATCAATAATCATATCAATACAACAATCATTTTTTGTTAATACAATTTAGGGTGGTGCGATCGCACCGCCTGTACCCCCCCCCCCCCCCCCCCCCCCGCATCCGCCCCAGGATAGCCTTGAACATTTTAAATAGGCCTAATATTCGTGCAGGTTTTCATGAATACATGCATTATCAATTACAGTATCATTTCCAAAATAATGCTTTTTCGTCAAGTTAAATTGCTCGGGTTTGCCTGTGCAATTTCATTACTCCTTTATTTCTATTCATTTACGGTTGCAATAGCACGCCCGGCCTCAAATTCATCATCCTTAAATTACGTTACCCTTGAAAAAATTAAATAACATTCTTGCAGGTTTTCATGAACACATGCATAATCAATTAGAGTATCACTCCCAAAATATCTTTTATTTCCATTAATTTACAGTATACAATAGCACGTCCTCAAATTCATCATCCTTAATTTACGATGACCTTGAAAAAAAAATTGTTGCAGGTTTTTATGAATACATGCATAATCAATTACATCACTTCCAAAATAATGTTTTTTTCGTCAAGTTAAATTGCTGGGGTTAGCCTGTGCAGTTGCATCACTCCTTTATTTCCATTCATTTACGGTTGCAATAGCACGCCCGGCCTCAAATTCATCATCCTTAAATTACGTTACTCTTGAAAAAATTAAATAACATTCTTGCAGGTATTTCCATTAATTTACAGTATACAATAGCACGTCCTCTAATTCATCATCCTTAATTTACGATGACCTTGAAAAAAAAATTGTTGCAGGTTTTTATGAATACATGCATAATCAATTACATCACTTCTAAAATAATGTTTTTTTCGTCAAGTTAAATTGCTGTGGTTAGCCTGTGCAATTGCATCACTCCTTTATTTTTATTCATTTACGGTATCAGGTCCTCAAGTTCATCATCCTTAATTCACGATACCCTAGAAAAACTTGCAGGTTTTTTTTTTTTTATAAATACATGCATTATCAATTACCGCTTCCAAAATAATACTTTTTCGTGAAGTTAAAGTTCTGACATTTGCCTGAGCAATTGCATCTGACTTCGTCAAGTTAAATTACTGGCTTTAATTATTGACCTGACGTCACGTTATTGATTGCCATAATAGACATAGTGCACATACAAATTAATGTGATGTGGATACTTTTTGTTCTTGTTATTATTGTTCTTGTTGATGTTCTTGTGGGGTTTTTTTATTTGTTATTTTATGTTCTTCACAATCAATTTCGATTATCACAATGTATAATGTGTATTCTACGATTACTTTTGCATCGCGCATGTGTTAAGTAAGCGTATGGGTGAGAATATGCAACAAACACTTTCAGTGACGCTTTGGCTTTATATAATTAAAATGTACTATACAAAGGGTTTTTAGTCTTCGTTATTTGTGGTTCAAGCAAGCATACTTGTGGTTTCTTGTACCCCAGTCGATCTGATAGTAATTTTAAAAGCATATCATGGATAATGCAACTATAGAAACTGCGTACGCCGACTATGTTAGCCCCAAAAATCAGCCTACCAACAACACGCTGCTTTTTGTCTTGAGGACTTTAGTTTTTGTTATAATCTTAGTCGGAAATTCTCTAGTTATATTTATTTCTATAACGCACAAGATGTATCAAAACATAAACAGACGAATACTTCTTAGTTTAAGCGTCGTTGATTTGGCGACCGGTGTTTTTGGACTTGGTTGGACTATTTTCTCAGAGATTTCAGCTAAAACTACTGTTGGTTATATTTTTAGATCAAGTTTGTGGTGTTGTTGTTGTATTTCTGAATTGCATCTCTTGGTTTTGGCAGGCGAGAGATACGTAGCCGTGGTATATCCTTTTCGTTACTTAGAATTGGCGTCTATGAAACGTGTTAACTTCTTCATTGCAATCGCGTACATTTGCGGCTCAACAATAATGTGCCTATACACAGTCGTACTTTTTTATATGGAATATAATTTAACATATGTATTTCTGAGTCTTGCTCTTTTACACTTGCTGACATTTGTTTTTGTGTCTTTTTCTCATATAAAAGTATATATCGAAGCAAAAAGACAAGCTTCTAAAATTTCCTCCATCGAAAAACAATCAAATCGCCAAGGAACCGCGAAGAAAAGAAAAGTTGATAACCGTGCGACAAAGACAACGATGCTAATATACGGAGCATACTTTATTTGTTACATGCCATATATTCTTTACATAATAAAATCTACAATACTATGTAGTATTCATGACGAAATGATCTGCGTCAACTCAACACTCCTCTATCTCGCCCTTCTTATGTATGCTAACGCGGGAATGAATCCATTTATCTATTCCTGTAGGAACCGAGTCTTCATGAGAAATTCAATTAATTCATTATTAGGTCCCCGCAATCGCGAAATAGGAACAACAGTGAACACATGAAGTGAATACATGAAGACAATTTTGAACCAGTTGTTTTTTTTTTGTAGACATGCTGTTACACTCATTTTATACCATTATTTGTGAGCACTCATTCGATGAAAACTTTCCTATGCACCTGCTACAATTTAAGTATATCACAAAGCATTATGGGAAATAAAATTGAGAAGTGCCAATAAATCCAGATGAGTAACAATACACCGTACATGGAGTACACGTTTCTGGCAACTCTGTCAATTGTTTGGACTTAAAGTAAATTAGACAAAATACGAGGTCTATCTTTATTTGAACTTTATCGTATCAGATCTACCAATGCCTTCTACAGAATTATCAATAGAGTACATTATTTTTGTCTTTATTTGGGATGGAAAACCGGATAAATCAAAAAGAAAACTGTATACAATAAGTTAAAGGAGGCTTGAAGATGACACATATACTGAGCTATATATTCTCTCAAAATTTGCTGGATTAAGCGTTACCTTGATAAAGTGATGCAAAGTGGAAAACCTTCTTTACCTCAGAAATAGAATCTATCGGTAGAAGAAATAACTTCACATGCAATTTTTCTAATAATTCATGTATTCTATACCCAATTATCCGGATTCTATAAAGATGTATTATCAGATTGGAGTGAATATCACTTTTTACCGAACCCAAATACTGCGGAAGAGATATGCAGTCAAGTATTATGGGATAATTGTTGTTCTGTTAATAGATCTTTTAAAATTCAAAAACTGGTGGAATGCAGGTATTCGCACTATAAAAGATAAAACTAATAGTAAGGGGTAATTCCTTTCACAAAATGAGTTAGAATCAAAGTATGAAATTCAAATTGATTTCTTTCTGTATAATGCGATCTGACATTCCATTGTGGAACGTACACTGGTACTGATATAAAAAACAAAAATGGTCCGATATGGGTACTGTATATTGGACACAAAAAAAATATTTTGTATACTTCACAGGCTGCAAATCGATTTTTGCATAGAACCGTTTTAACCAATGTAAAATTGTTTAAGTTTGGTTTGGTAAAATCACGGTACAGTATTATTATTCCTCGACGACGATTCGATTTGATCTAAGTTTCTAAATTATATTTGTTTGGCGAAATTAATTGTGAGATTGGTATGTTTGTCTTATGATGTAATTACCACTTATAACAGACACGGACTACTTAGCCAATGGTGGCGCCAGGATTTCCCTGGCGAAAAAAGTGGGCGTGGTTGTGCGTCACTCAAACGAGTTCAAGGAGGCGAAGCCCTCGAAAAATATGACAATTTAGGGGTTTCAAAGGCTTATCTAATCGGGTTTGGGGTCTACTAATGTAAAAAGTACATAGACCCTATACATTTCTTTTCTCCCTGGCCACCCCACGACCGTTGTATGCAGTCCATGATGATATAAGTAAATATATGATACGATTACACGATTTAATGTGTACATTAATACAGTAGTAAGTCTTAGGCATGTTATCTGTAGTTCATTCATGTCCGCATTGGTCTGATGCTGGTGTTAAATGCATTGTCAATACTATTGTGCCGATGTTTTACATACCTTGTTAATATTATTGTGCTGTTGTTTTATATGTATTGTTAGTGTTATTGGTGTTATTTTACATTCCACTAATAGAGAGTGATTGATATTAACTAGTTGTGTGAAAGGGTCTGCGCCGGCAATAACGGCGGCGTGATTAGGGTATTATTGCGGTATTTTCTGTCTGAAAGGGGCTGAGGAGGTCTGACGTTTAGGCGTATTTACCCTTTCACATAGAACGCCGGCGTTCGAGTAATACGGTATTAATACCGTTTTGCAGGTCTGTCTGAAAGGGGTATTAGTCTCTAATTAACAGAAACCAATAGTCTAGTTTCAGAAGTTTTGTTGGAGCGTCCAATAGTCCGTAGTTTACAGAAGTTTTGCTGGCACATTAAGCCGATTCTAATGTGAGGTAAATAGTTTTTACACCATTTAGGCAATTTCATCAACAAATTGTTTGTTTCTGATGTGGGTGTGTTGCCAGGTTATATCAGAGTTGTTGTTGGAATTGTATAATATGCCTAATTCTAAAGTTATGATGATAATAACTTGCAAAAAAATCTAAAAACATATTGAAACATATTTTATTTAATTTCCTCATTCTTACACCTTATTTGGGTCAGCATTGCTGCCTTTAGTGGTGTATGGCAGCAGAGCCTGAGGCACATGTCAAAGGTGCAGTATACACCTAACATGACGATAAAACTCTGGTTTCAGAGTAGTGTGAATACATGGCCACATAGAGAGTGACGCTAAGCCAAGTATGGCTCATTATAACTGTTTTTTCTGGTTAATAAACTGTACCGTATCTGATTTCATGTATTTCCTTTTTGATTTTATAACTAAAGGAGGGGGTTTTAAATGGATACCAGTGCTTCATTAATTTAAATTTTAAATCAAGGGTTCTCAACTTGCTATCCATCCTGTAAGAACAAGCCTAATATAGTTACTGTATACAGTTAAAACCACTAGGCATATTATTGCCAAGCTTGATTTGAGCTTATTTGCAGGTCAAGGGCAGACATTGAAACAAGGATGAATCTTTTGATGCTGCAATTCAGTTTTTGAAAACTTTTCTTCGCTCACAAAACATCTCTTGTCATGTAAACCATTTGACAATGTAATAGTTCTTCTTACCTGCAATATAATATAAATATAATGATGGTCAAAATCCTGCTCATATTAAAGAATACTCTGGGTCAGCACCATGCTTGGAGATGAACTAAAAAAGAAGGTTATGTCGCCCTCTAGAGGCTCATAAATAGAACTCTCAGACCAGATGTCTCTGGCTTATATTCTTTTCATTTTTTGCCTGACAGATGTTATGGTAATGATAATGGATGTAGACTTATGAATAGCGCATAATACTAGGTCTCTATGTGCTTTCAAGAAATGTCCAGTAGAAACTGAATAAAAGAAACAATAAAATGAAGACGAGACAAAGAAAACAGGAACAACAAAAATCATCAACAATACGATAGATGAGAAAAGATTTGTTTTGAGTGTGGTCTTAAATAGGTATATGGATGGAGATTCTTGTATATTAATGGGAAGAGAGTGAGTCTAGGAGCAGCGAAAATAAAAGAGCGCTCATTGTATGACTTTAACACCCTGCATGTGCCACCCCTCCACTGGGTCTATGAAAGGCCACAGGACATGGATTGCTTTATGACAAAGTTTCTTTAAAAAGTTTGGGGAGTGGATAGCTCACTATTTGGGACCCAAGTTGCCTTATTCTAAATATTTATCCCCACAGGGGCTAAGTGTAATATCTAATGTACTGTACTTACCAACTCTTATAAAAGTTAGATTGTTTTTGAGTATATGCTCTCCTTTCAGTAGTACTTGGTTCGGATTGGTTACTCGATTATTGTTAATGTACAGACCACCTTCTCTTATGGTCCTTTCACCGATACCTACAAAACAGGTTAGATGTTTACATTACCAGTAGATGTTTTACTGCATGTTACTCAATATCATTATTGGTACAATAATAGTAGCTGAATGGTGTAGGGTTCTTCATGCAGGGTACAGGGCCAAGGGTTTTAATACAGGCAGTTTATTACAATATAAATTGTTATTTCAATTCTTTCCTAACCTTATCAAGACAACACACTTATTGGATCAACACTGCTTTTAATATTTCTATACACAGGACTCCCTCTAATTAGAGATAACTTCAAAATAAAAGAACACTTTTCTTTGGTCCAAATTGACAACTGTCTTATCTTTATTGTTCTAATTAGAGGCCAAAGCTGCTAAAGACAATGGAAACCCCAATCACAAACATGTTCTTTAATTTGAGGGAGACCTGTAATTCGTAGGCAAACAGGAAACGCAACTCACCTCCTGGGGGAAGGCACTTGACTTTCTCTACAACATCCATGATGCTCATTCCTGGTTCCAGTATAACTCTCGAAATAAATGCCCCTTGGAATAGTTCTTCTGCCTCATTTTCATTGAGTTTTTCCAGAGCTTCCAGTCCTGAACTTCCATACAGAGCATCTGTTAGCCTCTGAGCCTTTGAGAGACCTTCCTCTGAATTAGAGAAAAGGATTAAATAAATAAACATAGATTTTAATAACAGCATTAAACAGGCCTGTAACAAACTGTTACCAAACAAATCCCCCTGATAAATATACCAATGTTGATTCTTGCGTTGAAAATAATAAAAATGGTAATAAAATTCACAATTCACATGGGAGAATGCTCCAGAAACGAGTTTGTCCTGGAACCCTATCTTGACCCCTAACTTTCATAGGGTACCCCTTAAAGACACCCTGTTATGGGCCTAATTAAAACCATCCTCATTCATCATAGTTGTCATCACAGTGATTGAATTACCTCCATGTACTAGCCGTGACACATGCTCTGCTAGCTTCTTCTGTGCTTGTCGTTTTTCCGGACGTGAATGATGCCTTTGCATAATACTTGAGATCTCTTCCAGGCTTATAAATGTGAACAGTTCAAGGTACTTTTTCACAACTTTATCAGGCAGTTGAATAAAATACTGGAAATGAACGATGATAGTCATTACACACACACACACTACAGGATACAGAATATTTTATGCCAATTTACATGCAACTCTAGAAACAAAGTGGCATATCTAGAAGTCTTGAAATGGGGATGCTGATGGGGGGGGGGGGAACGCAAATGTGAAGTGAGGTTTTGAACTTGCAAAATAAGATAATTTTAGGTGATATTTAACTACTTGCAAGTGATTTTTTTTTTGGGGGGGGCCACGAGCAATTTCTGGAGAGGCGTGCACCCCCTACGCACCCCTAGAAACATGACCATATATATGCACATCGTAACTATATATATGCATGTAACAGTTTGTTAATCTGGACAGAGCTTTAAATAAGTAAGAGTGTTACCTGGTACAATTCAAATTCTGATGTTTTTTGTGGGTTCAGCCACACAGCATTTCCAGCCGTCTTGCCCAGCTTATGCCCTGCAGTGGTAGTGACCAATGGCAGTGTTATACCTGAAGAAATAAACATCAAAGTATTTAATTGAATACTTCAGACTTTGAACTGCTTGTTACTGCTTGTGTAATCCATTTCTCCGATTGTAGTGTTAAATCATCACTCAGTGGCGAACTCAAATTTTGTCAGAGTATGAGAGTGCCATTTCTGGCCATCTACAGGTGCCACAATCATACTTCATACCCAACTATCATGGGGCTGAGGTGGTATAGCCCCTCCATTTGTGAAACTCCTCTCTGGGCCACCTCCATTTCAAATTCCTGGATCTGCCACTGAGTATGTAGTATTCCAATTACAGAGTGTCTATGCACTCTCCTCCTCCTCCCACCCACCCTAAAAAATTGATTATATACACTATCGGAAATTACAGTTTCTATGCATTATATTATGTGAACACAAAACAGAATTACCATTTCTGGGTCTGTGTGGCACACATAATCCAGAAGTCTCTGTATATCATAAAACAATTCCCAAAATTATACACTTGACATAGATACTCCAAGACGGGATGCCAGTCAATTCGAGCGGATGTCAGTTCGAGCGGATGCCACTTTGAGCGGATGGAAGTTCGAGCAGATGCATTTAGGGCGAACTATAACATGAGCGAATTTATCGTCGCCGTATTCTTGTATTTGTTTTAAATGCAAAAAATGCTCTGATTACTATTCTGCTCGAATTCGCTCGAATCCGCTCGAATTGGCCTTCGCTCGAATTGACTGGTCCCCGAAAATACATATGTACATACATATATGTACTTTTTGTAAATTGGAATTTTTCAAAGTGTTTACTTACCATAAACAGATGCACTTGGACCTTTGAGTCTGTCTATTAGTTCATAGCCTGTCATAATATTGCCCATCTGGTCCGAGCCACCGAACTGAAAACAAAATTAATACCGGGACATTATATGTTAAGCAAGTACTAAATCAAGCCTTGCCTATTTGTAAGCTGTTAGTGTATCCGATCAGAGGTGGATCCAGTAATTCAAAATAGAGGAGGCCCGGAAAGTCAATTTCAAAGATGGAGGGTCCACACCACCTCAGCTCCACTATGGTTGGGGGTGGGGGCGAGGTACACAATTTTATGTTTATGTCACTTCTTAGATGGCTGGAAAAGGCATTCTCAGAATAACATTTTTAATGTAATTTTCTTTTCCTCCATTTTTTCACATTTTGAAAAAAAACATTGGTGGGTGGGGACCACCTGGACTGACCCTCCTCCACCCTCTGAAATCCACCAATGGCAATGTATAATATTTGATGCATACAGTACCTGGATTCTGCAGCCATACTGCTTGTGTAAATGTAGAAAGTCATATGCCTGGAAAGTTTGGTAAGAAAACTCACTTAGACTGAGACCTTGAGGACTTTCTAAACGTGATTTGACACTTAAATGAGAAAAGAAAAAGAGTTACATGATTAAAAATATCTTTATATTTGAACCATAATCTGTGACGTTTTGGTATTTCAGTACTAGCAACATAAACACCACCGACAACAGAAACAAACAGAAAACATGCAAATAAAATTACCTCCTTTAAACTTCATTCCTTTGGGAAGAGGATAATAATAAAAGCAGCATTAAAATACAGTACCTGCTGCTACTTGGGGATCAGAATCATCAATAGCCACCACATACAAGCTTGGTGGTTGAGTGGTTAAGACACCATGCTAGTTATTTGGAGGTCATGGGTTTGATTCCAATATTTTTTTTTTTTCGCAAGCATTCAAGAATGTACTGAGCATTCAGTACTATATCACATCATGTAGGGCAAACATCTATTCGTAATAAAAGATAAATTGTTCCAACCTTTTCCTACCAAGCATGGTTCCCATACGCAGATGTCTTCCAAAATTTGACATGAAGTCCACAACATTCTTTCCATCATACCACTCAGAATTATTGAGGATTCTTTGAGAGACAAAATAAGTGAAAGTTATTAATATTATAAACTTATAGATTATAAAATAATAATTGTACAATAGGCCAGTTTGGTGGACTGAATTAGATATGGATTGGATTTCTTTGGTGTAACACACACCAAGGATAACCCACTAAAGTCCTAAGACTTATTTCCAGTGGGGTCCTTCTAGTATGAATTGAGCAGTAAACTTTGGGACAATCTCCTACTCTTTCCCGAAGAGTGTAGGCCCTACGGCCCTCTTTAGCATGCACATGAGCCATTTTACACACAGGACCAAATGTTGAAAGGCTTCTGACACTTGATTTGAAGGACAGCAGCGATGCGAATTGAACTGGGGACCAAGATATCTCCACGGTTCGGAGCACACACAGTGGCTACTGACAGATTAGTTGACTGAGCTAGCTGCTCTCTAACTGACCTAGCTGCTCTCTAGAATGAATGAAATTTGTTTCTCAAAACCACAGCTCCCCTCCAAAACACATGCATTGATATAATATGATGGATTTCTACATCCTGACATACCTAATTGGCTGAAGCTGTTTACTTTGCTTCCAAATATACTTCTCATGATTTTTAAATATTGTTTGTAAATTATTTTCGATATTCTGGACATTCTCTGTAACTTCTTGGAGTGAAATTGGGTCACGTTCTTTTGTCTTACCACTTGGATCACCTATTAAAGCAGTAGCTCCACCAATCTGGATAAGATAAGAGAACATAAACACTATTCTCGGTGTATTTGGTTTGAATTATAATGGGGATCATATTTTTGTACCCAGGAGTACAAGTGGGTACCTGGTAGGTTCAAGCACAGCCTGTGCTGAATACAGCTGCAACATTATGGAATTTCCCCATGGGGCTTGAGTGTGTGTTCCATATATGCTTGATCCAGTGATCCGGGGGTAAAAATGTTCAAGCGCCTCAACATGAGGCGCCATATAAATCCAGAATTATTATTATTTATATATAAGGGCATGTGCAGTTGGAACTACAAATTGACTTATTTTAACCAATATACTTACTAATACAAAGCTAAAAAACCATAGACACAACATAGGTTTGTCGACTGACATTTGATATAAATTGGCTTATTTTAACCAACAATACTTACTAATACAATGCTATTGTGACCAGCTCGTTGGCAATGTATCAGGGTGATAATGGCTAGGAGGTTACCAATGTGTAGACTAGGAGCTGTTGGGTCAAAGCCACAGTAAACAGTTTGAGGTGAACTAGTCAGCAACTTTGCCAATTCATCACTAAACCAAGAAATTCCAAAAGAAAAAATATAAATTATCTTCTCATTGATATTTTCTGCTTCTCTGTCCAAAAAAGTAAATGGCAATAATAATGTAGAATAAGCATAATGAATATTGTACAGTAGTATTATTACCTTGAATTTGGAAATATGTCTTTAAAGAGACCTCTTTGATGGAGCGTTAGTATATTTGATGACGACCTGCATAATCTCTGCACCGTATTACTAAAGCCTCTTACTTGGCACCTGAAAGAAATTTGGCTCTGCAACAAACTGAGAGAATAAAACAATCCAGGCTGTACTGGAGATAAATAAAATTCACATTATAAAAAATAAATCTTTGTGATTTTTTTATTGGATGATTCAAAACCATTGTGTTGCGTAGCAGCAAGATGGCAGGGAGAGCTTCAAAATGGACAGAACAATCCTCATTCCCCGGATACAACACATAGAACCATTAAAAGGGGAATTCTGTTTTTGTTTTTTTTTTTAATCATCTTTGGACTTTATTTCATTTTTCCCTAGCACAACTGGTTTTTCATGCTGTACGAAATCTCCATACTCTTCTTCTATTTCAATGAGTTCTAATATCAAAGAGTAAAATTCTGTTCATAATCATATACTCTCCATCCTTGCCTTACTATATATGTATAACTAATTATCTAAAGTAGAGAATGCATTATATTGGGGCCATAACAAGCTAGGCGTAGGCCAAACATTTTGGGAGCCCACCCAGACGGAGGCATGTGTACGTCATCGTGTGATGCATGCTTGTCGTTGCCATCATCAGTGCTAGCCTAGCCTAGCTAGAGTACAGACAGAAGTTGCAAGAAAGTCTAATCCGGGCTCATAAATATTCGTCAACAAATTCGTATGTACACCTCGTCTTACCTAGGCCTACTATATGCTATTGGGTTTTTTCCTTTCTTCAATAATCTGATTACCATAGGCCCACATATATTTTTGATGTAGATCGCCATGCTATACCCCCACTGTGCGACTGCAACTTTGAGGTTGCGACCATTATACTGATGGAAAAACTATAAATATATCATCATATATTCCCTTCTACATATTCATAAGCTACATGTAAGCTGTTTAAATTTCCAAGCAATTTAATAAATTAATTTGTTTCTTACACTGTTGATAGAAGTAATTACGATGAAATAATGAAGCTATATTGACTCGTTATTTTAGATAAACTAAAACACCCCCATAATAAAATGGTCGATTTGTATTGCGTGAAACGGGGAATACCCAGGTGGCGGTCGACTTTTGCATAAAACAGACTGATGAGGTAGATTTGTCCCATATTTTTCCAGGATTTAACACTGTTTGAATGTTTCACTGAATGTCAAGTATAGATGAGGACACCCGTAAGTATTGCTTTTCTATATGGCTACAGAACAAGCACTGGTGTGCCAGCAAGTTGGTCCGTTTTGGCATCACTATCTTTAACCTACTCTAGGCCCAGCTATGTCTATGCCTCAGTTCAAAGTTGAAATCACGATCATGCAGAGCGGGCCAATGATGGGCCATGGTGCTACATTGCAACTCTTTCATCATCGTGATTTCATAATGAACGCGATTTTGTATAGCCTACGGCTACATAGCCCACGGCTACCTAGCCCAACAGCCTTTGTGCACTCTATATCTGCTTGCTTAGACTGGACTTACAAAGAATGCCCCCAACAATAACACAACTTATTTGTTTGTACGTACTTTTCTGTACTGTGTGGTATTGTTGGGCAGGTTAATATTATACACAAGAGCTGTGAAAATGTACAGTAGATGTTTATTGTTAGGTGAACCCTGAACCATGGATCATGGATTAAATAAATAATTATTATTATATTGAATGTTGTAACTAGTGTAACAATACAATAGTCACTGATTAAATATATAATATATATATATATATATAATTTATTATTCAAAATCTTGCAGACCACTCCACCATGAGTGCAACTGAACGTTTGGCATCCGTCAAAGTGTCTGCCTACAACCAGTTTGTTAAGTGGATGGAAAGACTTCAGATACAAGAATGGATTGAGTGCATCAAGGTGTGGGTGATGGTGCATCCATTGCTTGCACTATTTGCCGTCGTCCTCATAGCAACAACATCGGTCCCGATTATGATCTTCCTCAGCTTTGTCGTGTTTGTGCTTTTGTTTGGAATCATCAGTTTTGCATTTATTGAAGGTACATATGAAAAATGTGCTGTGTTAAAGCACTGTATCTCACACACTAAAATGAGCTTTACCAATCAAACTGCAATAAAAAAGGACACTGCATGCTGTGGTGGATATTTATTTTATATTGGCATCAAGAACAATAAAGGTTGCATTATAATAAAAATTATGAAAAAAAACTTGTTTAATATGTAAATACATATAATATGTAAATTTGTTTATAAATGATATACCATAAAAACTCAAAGCGCTTTTTTTTTTCGAGATGGTACAGTACATACTGTACATGAATTTCAAAGAAACAAAAAAAAAATTAAAAATACGCTTTGTACAGGTTAATGTTACAGTGGCACTATTGTTTTGTAATTCTCAAAATTTACAGCATTCATCTGGAAAAGAAGCCTATCCAAAGTTCACAAAAAACTTGCACACTTGCAGATTCCTCCTTAACATTTAAATGCTCTGAAGAATTATGACCTCAACAGATGTACCACTTATATATCTCTGGATTAAGCATCCTACCACACTCTTTGGCATGTATAATTAAATTGTTGATCTTGCTTTTGTAGGCTTGTTGCTAACAACAAGTTCAGCCATACTATTGACAACTGTAGGCTTCATCGCAACTGCTGCTCTGGGCGTTACCGGTTTCATAGTCAGCTGCTACTTCGTCATGCAACTTGGGCATCGTTTCCTGGGCATCACAGCGGAGAAAGTCAAACTTGGATGCAACGGTGTAGTCTCATGGTACAAGCCAAAGGCATCGCAAGAGTACAACAAAGTGGAGGAAGTGAAAAAGGAATGATGGTGGTGGTCCCCTGTAGAAAATGACCTTCCAGAGAGTCAGCACAAGAATCCACACCAGGAGGTCAACTGGTTGGAGGACAGCTTCTTTCTTCGCACTGCTATTATTAGTATGTTCTTGTTTCTCATTATTTCTCCGTGGCTACAAATCATTGTTTCTTAATACTCGTACAAGTACAGTATTATGTCTATCTATTTTCCGTTTTATGTCTATACATTATCTAAAATGTATTGTTGGTTTATTATTGTTTGATATTTTATTCATTTCATCTATTTGACTTAATCGGTGACATATCTAGGAGTCTGGAAATAGGGGGGGGGGCGGGGCTGATGGTGGGGTGCAAAGGTAAAGTGGAGCCTGATAAGTGAGGTAACGGCTAGCTTGCAAATAAGGGACTTTTTTGCTTTGAACATTTTCAAAGACTGAGAGGGCAAGATTTTTTAGGTGGGGGAAGATGCGCCACTGGACCTAATAGACACAGTATGCAATATTTAATAAAATCAAAGACAACGGTTAAGTGACAAATTTATTAATTAGTATTATTATTTAAAATACAGTATTATTGAAGTGCTTTTGGTGCCAGCTAGTATTACAGTGTGCCAGGTTACTTAATATGTAACAGTCACAGTTTACTTAGTCCCTATTACTACAAAATTCATAGGTATAGTATTCTCAACACAACTTCACATTTGCATCTCCACTGTCCATGCATGTTTTTCCCTTCCTCTGATTGTTAAAAATATCAAAAGCAAAGTTGACAATTTTTTTTATCAACAGTATTTGTAGATAGCAACTGAATATTTGAAATATTTTTTTATATATTGTGTTAAATTTTATGTGCAACATATTTTCTTGATTTTTTAAATAAAAGTAAAATAACGCATGTGCTGCTAAATAATTCTACAGGGCTGCAAGAAATCGGTTTTTCTTTGGTCCAATTAGTATTGATTTGGATTTAAAGATAATTGTTTTTATTTTTGTGTACATACATTTACAATTTATATAAGTACAGAAAATATTTTTTTTTAGAAACTGATAATTATGAAAAAATAAAATAGTAATAGTAATTAAAAGTTTCAAAGAATATGAATTTAATGATGTGTAATGATTTGGTTTCTTTGTTGAATTGGACATAGGATAATGAATAAATTTAATTCTGAAGTTTATTTGGTATTTTTTGGCTACCTTTTTGTTTCTGTTGGTCAAATTCAATTGGACCATCTATTTATAGTTTGAATGGCTTAATTTGTATATTCTGTCAATTTTCTGACAGTAATGTTCCTATCTTATAAATAAGCTATTTTTGAGGTATTTTCCTGTAAAATTGACTGATAGTACATCTTTCAGTAATATTAGTAATTTGTTGTCGCAAAGGCAAAATGAATGAATGAATTTAATAACTAAAAGCTACTTTTAAATTTCAACATTGATCTTAACATTTAAATAGAAGGCAGTGCTGTTTCAATCCTTCACAAAATTATGTTGCTGTTTAAAATCAACCAGCATACAGTATTTCAAAATATGAATGCAGTCTAACACTATATAGTGGCGAACACGAGCCATACGAGTCACTCCTTGCAATTCATGTTCTGGATATACAGCTAGTACTGTAAACACTAACTGAAATCTTATATCTATACATCATTCTGTCATTTTTTAACAATTATGTGATGTCTCTTTGAAGGCTAATTTCTGAAATACTGTTATTAAACTGCTGTATGTTTCAACCCCTGTAACTTCAAAACAAAGTATTCGATTTAAATGATTCTTTCATTTTACTGTTTAACCATGTATTAATAAGTAATGTTTTGGCCTAATTTAATTGGACTCCAGTAACTTGTGATGTTTGTAGTGACTGACCTTATGCGCATGGCCAGGTCACAAAGCGTTTATGATGACATTTATCTTAATTCACATATTTATCAGATCATTACAGGATGTTGTATAAGCCAATGCTAAGTGTCTGATTTCCTGATTCAGGTTCGAAGCAGATATAAATACTACAAGCAAAACTTGAATGTGTTGCTTGATGCGAGGATGGTTCAACCACAATAAGTTAGTGACCACGTGGACACTTGTTGAACATAAACATCTGATTATTATAATTAGTTTTTGTATAAATTATATTAAATTATTAGTTAGATTAGAGTTACATGCCAATTTGTGGTGTTTTCCATTAATTAACAATCTGTAAGTCGAACAATTTTTCAATTCCATTACATATAAGGCGAGTTTAACTGGTATTATGGTCCTTAATTTTACATAGCAATTTCTGTGGCCGAATTATATGGAACAATTCAATAGATAACAATCTGCATTTTTTTAAAATCTACTTAAATAAATCGAGATTTTTGGAAATCGTTGATTAATAAGCCTAAGTCTGTGAGCAATGAACAAAGAAAAGTTTGTGAAAATGAGATACTTGTGAGAAGTTGCAAGATGAAGAGTGCATACGGTATATGAATTGTTTGAGCTAATAATGAACTTACCTCCTTGTAATGAATATGTAATTGGACTTTCACAAGGACAAGGTGCGCCTTTCACATGTGGAGGGTTTATATCCATCACCTCAGCCCTACCATGGTTAGAACTGAGGTAAGAAAATTATATGATTATGGCGCCCCAAGATGGCAGGAAATGTCACTCTCAGACTACTTGAATTTTTCTCCATTTTATAATATAATTTAGGGGTGGGGCCCATCTGAGCTGGCTGCCCCTCCCCCCTGAATCCGCCATTGAAGTGTATGAGTATTAAGTTGTGTGTTGAGTTGTTGGCAGAATTGTCATAGCAAGCAACATGTATTTTCAGTAGTAAGCCTGTGATCTAACAAGCATAGTCTCTACAGAAATTGAATTCTAAAACTTTTTTATTTATTAATGACAAATGTTTGACTGTGCAGTTCACTATTGGTGGCAGGCAGTAGTCCTGAGACTGTGTCATTCACCTGTGAGATACGAGACCAAACAAATTAACAGAATGAGTCATAGTGTGTAATCGTAAGGGGAGCATCCTGCAACAAGTTTACGGAACATCCGGCAAAACTAAGCAGTAATTAATCAAGTTGTTTTCCTTTCCTATTCGTTGCACAAAAGCAGTTGTTCACACTCAGCGAAGCCCCATGGATGAAAAGAAGAATGTGGTTCGAGTTTACACCCCAACGCTTGTAAGTAAATATAACTGCAAGGTTAAGTTCATTATTGTTGATAATTTTGTTTAATTTTTTTTTGCATTTTTGGTGAGTAAATGTGGGCTTTTAAATAGTTATTGTTTGTGCTTTTTGTGTTTGTCTTGCTATTTAGTAATTGAAATCTTTGGCTTCTTTCGTTAAATTAGTTATGTCAGTTTTTTTGTTGTTGGTCTAATAACACCTGACATAGGATCACCAGTCGAGTACAAAATTACGATTGTGGCAAATTAAGCATATTATGATCTAATTGTGGTGCTCCGCCTATATCTGGCAAACCACCAATCCTTCAAAGAGATGGTGATAAACACATACCGTTTGTGCTCTCTAAAATCTGGAAAAAGCTAAGAAACTATCATAGTTTTACTGTAGTTTAAGTAGTTCCATTCTGTAAATGTGTGCTTTCTGCTGTTGAATGAGAATTTTATAAGATATAAATAAAGTCAAGACAATGAATACCTAATGTGAAGGGATTTATTTATAGACATTATTTTAAATTATGTTTTAAGTTATTTATGTATGTTTTCAATTAATTTTATAATTTAGAGCTATATTTGTTATATTATCTTTTATCTATGTTACAACAGAAATTCATTAGTAGTTTATTTATATCAGAATTGAAAAAAGGGAATTTATTTATTTATTTATTTATTAAGCCAGTGTGCTGACTTCAGAGATTGTGAAACGGTAGTACATGACCCTTTCGAATGAACAGCATAATATTTTCTTACAATAGAAATTTTGGCCTCTAATTTCTCCATATATTTAACCGCTTCAATTTGCGCTTTGATTATTGGTAGGTTTAGAGTATATACCGCATTTAGACTGGTTGGGTTTTTTTTCCTTAGATGCGGGGCTTGACATCTGCGACGGCCGTTGCAGTTGCTCCGTTTAAATTCCGGCTCCGTATGGACTATCATGGAACAGATTCATCAGTGTCTTTATGGAATAATTTAAAAGCATGGATCAAGCAACACCCCCTGTACTCTGGCTGTCTTGCAGTACTATGTGGTGTCAATATAGTGCCAATCATATCATTTGCTGCTGCATACATAACAATTAAAATTACTATGAAAGTTGGCAGAGGTCTACTACAGGGTAAAACATTCACTTAAGCATTTTTTTTTAAATACTATAGCTAATAGTTCTTGAAAAAAATATGTATATAATTATTATTTTAGAGAGCATAATAAATAACATTTTGTTCTGTGTGACTAAATGAAACATGAAACATGGCATATAGCATAGCAAGTTACAGTACAGTAGGTATGTAATATTCTGCCAAAAAAAGGCAGCTCAGTTTAAATAAAAATTTAAAGAAAACCCCATAAATTATAAAATCATACATTATTTTATGAATACATACTGACAGGAAAATGTATATAATGATTGAATTTATTTATTTATTCTTTCTTTAAAGTGAAAGCACTTTCAGTGATGCAGTACTGGTTTTATAAGTGGATCACATGAACAAACCAAAAAATATTTAACAGAAATGCAAATCAGAAATAAAAAATCAAATGAACAGATAAAAATCATATGAATAAAAAATCAAATGAACAGAAAATTAAAAGGAAAAACCTGAAAACACAAAGAAAGGAATTAATATCAAGGCAAGAGAACATTACTTTGCAGTGGAAATGAATAAAAATATTACAGGGTCGTGGTTAAGTTTTTAAATGTAGCCAGTTTAACAATTCGAGTTTGATCTAACCTCATTTAGATTGTCACACAATAAAATTTAGGTACATTATATCATGTAGTTTTGTTTTTTTCTTTTGTGTAAAGCCTACAATGTTTTTGTTTTTTTCTTATACATAGGTGTAAGAAGATTACTTGGGTTTCAGACAAAGTCTACCATATTTGAAGATGAATACCATTTGTCGCATGTTAACCAGCAGATGAGTGAATATTGGGGAAGGTTCCGCATCGTACCAACCACAAGAACAACTAAGAAGGTTGTGAGTCTGTACAATGACGTTGCAGACTTCAAGATGTTGGAGGAATGCACTCGTTTGTTACAGACAAGCGAGAACGGGCAAGTCTACAGCTACCTTACTGGTATCTGCGATGGTGAGAGTGGAGATGTTGATTCTGCAATCCCAAGTTCGGAGATAGAAAAAAATGACCTTGAGGTCACTGATCAGTATGCAACAGATCACCCAGATATCATACGCGGCCTTGATGCAAAACAAATGTTTACAAGTGATATTTTGCCAACAGATGCAAGTCTGTGTGACGAGGTTGATGGTAAACTATCTCTGGAAGTAGAATCACCTTCTATGTTGGCACTGGAAGAATCAACAAAGCTTGAACAAAAGTTATCAAGAGATGATATAAATGAAGTGAAGAACAAGAAGAAAAGGAGGAAGATTAAGAGAATATCTTGGCCATTTACAAAGAAGAAGTGATCTTAATATGAATATCAAATTCTTCTTGTATATACATTATCTTCTTTGTTGAACAGCGCACAGCATAAGATAAGTAACTTTAGCCTGGCATTCCCTGAATCTGCAGCTAACGTGATTCAATGAGATGCAACAGATTCTTTCAACAAGATCAGTTCAGAGCGCCATCAACAATCAATCAGCAGACTGGAATTGTGTTGGGCAATTGCACAACAGCACAAACAAATGTGCACTCAGCTTAAAAGTTATAACATGTGCGATTGTAATACCAAACAATAAGAGATAACATAACATTTATATCAAACTGATGTTTGTTCAGCTGATGTACGTAACATAGAATCTGGATTAAACAAAAGATTCAACAGAGCATTTTTTCTTCCTTTTAAGAATTGTTTTATTGATGAAAATTTGAATACCAGCATTGGTAATTATCAGCTAAAAAAAATGAGGAGAGTAAATAGTATTGGATATTACATAGTGTATTCTACAAAAGTTGCAGTGCATTTTACAAAAATTAAAAAATAATTTATTGTAAAAAAACAAACAAAACATACTTCACTACTAGCAGACATGAAAACTGTACTTAGAAGAAATTAGGACATGATAGCCTCATGCATTTTAAAAGGTCCCTGGACAATAGTGAATCATCCATTTCATTGGTAGTGGTTTTTTTTTTAAACTGGGGATTTTTTTTATATTGATGGTGGTACATCAATCTTCACCATGGATATAGCACGTCGGCATTTAAATGAAGTGGACCAAACTTGAAGTTAACCGTGGTGACTTGATTGAATCTTAAGCTATATTAGTTAGTTTTCAATCCCTGTCGTATCAGGACAAGTACCCCGAATGTACCCCAGCCAGCTCAGACAAGTACAAACCACACCACGTATGTACTTTAATTATACGAGGACTATGAACAGTACAGATGGAAACAGTGTTCTTATCGTTAGTGGTTTACCCAATTATCATGGACTCTGTGCAATGAGAAATAACAATTGTTCTTTGGCCACAATTTCATTCTTTTTAAGGTCCCTGTTTTTACCGCCACAAAAATTGATTATTCAAGAAACTGTTCCTAAAAACTATTTTTTCTTATCCAGTAGAAACCCACCCTAAAAGGTAAATGTCCATATTTAAATAATGCTCAATTTGTTTAAAATTACCAAACTTGAGGCATAATAATGCACAATAATTCCATCAAATGATTAACTTAGTCATTTAATCGGCATACTTTTTGTATTTACAATCGGAGAATAATAAATAAAATCCAAGAAATGTCACAAATACTTTTACAGTAACATTTTAACTCACTGCGATAATAAATATATTGAAAAAAACTTACATTTTAAGAGGACCAGAATTCAAAGATACAGTACCAAATAGGAGAGAGGGCCACATGCATGACACAGTTCTGAGGTAGACAAAAGTCTATCAAATATCAAATACACATTTGCATAACATTAAACATTTGGAATGCATTTGTTTTGGCAGCATATTATTACATTTTAATACTACAGTATACTGAATAAGAAATCATAAAGTACTGAACATTTTACCTGATTTAAGTTTCCTAATGCTGTAGTTTACTGCAAACTTTCTGTTTATACTTCATTCACTGAAAGTTCACATTTGGATATACAGTACATTGTCCATATATGGGTATATTATTTATATATTGAATCAACACATTTATATTTATATATTGGTTAAATGGCTCGGAAAATGTATGCTATTACTTTTATAATAAAAAAAAAAGATTTAAAAATTAATTAATTCAAATACTGAATTTAAATAATTATGATTTATAAAACTCAGTCTGTAAGGGATCAAATTTCAAGAACATGCTGAGATTCTTAAGTAATATACCTGGAAATCTGGTTTTACATTTTTTTTTATCCAAAACATTTTCTATCAAAAACAGAATTTCTTTTCCTTATGAGATAGCTCACAGATTTACAGACACATTTAAATCAACATAAAAGAATATAATATAAATTTTATCATATAAAAATAAATTAAAAATTAAATTGAAAAAAATTAACTAACTGTACAAATTAGATTGACTACAGAATAAGGCCAAACATTTAGGTTTTGCCTTACTATGTGGACAATCAGAATGTTTTCCTTACTATAGTCTTAGGCCTAATGCTAGTAGCATTCATAGCTGACCATCACTCAACTTTGGCTAGTGAAATTTATAACACACCTAAATAGATTCTTATCATTTGACTGGTGGATTTCGTAGTGCGTGACAGTGGTTATTTACCCTATTTCGTCACTCATCATGGAAATTTAGTTCCACTGTGCATTTTCAACTCCATTGCACAGCGTCTAGGATACAACATGACTTCAGCCTAATACAATCTTTGGATTGGTTAAAAGATGCTGGACAATTTAAGATGTGTTATAAAACAAATAATGAAGGTTTTTTATTCGTGCAATGGAAAGAATATTTTTATTCGTTGAATGATCGACTGTTCCATTCAATTTGACTCCACCTCGTCGAATGGAACAGTCAATAATTCAACTCATGGAAATATTCTTCCCATTGCACTCATTAACATTCATTATTTGTTTAATATAGGTAAGCTATCAAATTCAAATTTGGAAAAGTGCATATTTCAGCCAGGCAACACAATCTTTTATTGTAACTCCAGAATACAACTGTATTACTAGTTGTACTCGCCTGGTAGTTTGAATTTCTAATCTTGAATTAAACTTGTGCCACAATTTAGCTGCATTTAGGCATATGCTGAACTTATTAATCATCATAATATAGTAATACAATCATAATAAAGACAACATGAATAGTTACAATAATTATTAGAATTATTATAATAAAAATATTAATGATAATTATAATAATTGAATTCTATTTTTGGCATGATACAAAAATCATACAAAATTTGTAGTATAAAACAATATATAACATTTGAAAGCAAATCTGTACATCTTTCCTTGGGGTTAAATTTAAAACTGGCAGTATAAAAGAAGGGAAAACAAAATTCCATTTCTTAAATCTCACATTCGTAGATGTTGCATAGACTTGCGGTTTACATTTGATGGCCCGCTTTCTGGTTCAACAAGCTGATGAGAACTGTTACGAAGGTGGTACACTCTTTTATGTACACTTAACAGAGCAGGTCTGCTCCTCCTCATCCCCAGCTTACCCCCACCTCCAATGGTAAAACTACGCCCCCTGCTTTTGCGTTTCTTAGTGCACGTCGTGGACTCATAGTTGCAGTTGGGATCACGCACGATTACTTTGGAATGGTTAGCTTTTGGTTCTTTAGCACATACTTTTGAAGGCGAGTTGCACAGTACAGATACACACGGTTTGACATCTGTTGACGGTAAATTACAATTCTTACTCTGTAGGTTGAACTCCATACGTATACGTTCACTACTTTGCTTGTTTTCGTTTAACAATGCAAATTCTGAAAGCACAAGTATATGAATATCTTAATATTCAGTACAAAATGATGACTTTGAATAAAACTGTTTTATTTTTGGTCAATTATTGCACCCACCATCATGAAAAAAAAAAAGGAAATTTCAGAAAAAAATTAAAGATTTTCTTTATTTTTATTATGCCCGCCGATGCCTTGAAATCTCCAAAAATAAGATATGTATCGTTCTTCCTACTGTAATTATATATAATTTAAAGCATTTAACCATCCTATTACTGGACACTGTTTACACTTATTTTCTCCTCCATCTGGATTTTTTGGCAAAACTATTTTGCTAAATAATAAAACAAAATTTTATTTGTTTTTTCTTTCCGCCCTCTTCTAACAATCTTAAAAAGAATATGTTCATGAAACAAAGTATAAAAGAAGTCTCGCCTTAATTATCTTTTATTACAATTTCGAGTTTTTTGGCAACTAAAGGTAAAAAATATAATTACCTTCATAGACAAAGCTATCAAACTCTCCTTCACTTTCCTCATCGCCTTCGTATCCGGAATTTATCGAACAGAAACTGTCATTGGGATTATTGTCCATGTTTGCAGCATTATTCTGCATCCCAAGCACAGCAGTCGGCGTCACCGGCCGCGGACGACTTCCTCCCTCTTCGTCGTTGATATCGGCTGGTCTCTTTTTGGATGATGGTGACATAAGGAATGATTCTATGGCGGGTAACTTGGAATGACTCACGACTGTTGATGTCCTTGATTCGACACCAAGGAGGTCACACAGTACTGCATATGGCATGCACTAAGAAAAAAGTAAAACTGTTAATCACATTACAGTTACCAGTGTGATAAGTAGAAAAAAGGAATTAAGCATGTTTGTATATCTTATATACCACACAGCTCAGAAGTTTGTGACCTTGAAAGAAAAATCTAAAATGCAGACTCGGAAGGAAAAATTGTTTTTTTACATGTTGTACAACTGATATTTTTTAAGACACAAAAAGCATTTTTGAATGAAAACTCGGGAACGATTAATGAGAAACAGATTGTTTGAACACTTAAAAACTAGGGGAAAAGTGTTAAAAAAAAGGGTAAAAAAAGAAAAACCCTTGATAAATTGAAGGTGGGAGAAAACAGCAACATACCTCAATGCTACTGACACTGCTTAGTTCCTTCGAAGCGTAGCGTTGTTTTACTGCTACTAGTGTCACTTCCCGATGATCCGTCAAGGGGCTCTCAGAGAAACTAAAATAAAAAATATCAAAATGATGACTACCATGTTTGGGTAAGATTATGCTCTTTGGTTTAAAGATATTTGCATATATAATAATAATAATAATATTATAAAGCTTACCATTTTCTATGCATCTTAAGAGTGGTTTCTTCAAGGTCACTAATATCAAAGCCAGTAGACAGAGTCATAGTCGATGACCAGGGGTATTCTGTATAATTGAGAAATAATATGATAAAAATATTTATAATAATTAATAACAATTTAGTAAATTATATTCCATCAACAACTTGAGAGTATGTTGCATTGGTAGCTTTCTTAAAAGGAAAATATATAATTTGTATAATAATAAAACAAATGACATTAACAACATATTATTTAAAATCTTGTTAACAAGCAAATCACACATTTTTAACATTTTAAGTAGACAAATTACCTGCATTGAATATTATTCTTGCCAGGTATAATGCACATGATGCGATCTTAGCTGGTGGTGCAGGGCCAAAGTCTGAATGGAGTAATGAAATCTCACAGATGTATAAAGCCATGTCCTTTATTTTTTTGTCAGCTGACACCAGTAAACAGAGCAGGTTGAGATAGTCAACTATAGTCAAAACCTGGTGAGAAAAAGATTTTAAATAAGAAAGAAAAAAAGCAAACACCTTAATCTAAACCAATTTTTTTCAATAGGTAATTTTAATTTTTTTTTTGATATCTTGCATTTACATATGCATATGGTATGATTTTGCTTTCAGTGGATGTAAGGAATGCTCTATAAATAAGTTATGCATGTGCATTTCCAAATATTCCACAACCCAGATCATGATGCATATTGGGTATAATGTGCTAACGTTTGCGTAGTCCACATTTAAGTCAATATTAAAATGTTTCACACAAAACTCCAGTCCATAATAATATTAAAAAGAATAAGAATTTTAAATGACTAGCTTCCCTGGATGGATATCAAATGGTAAGATATGGTGTAAAAATAAAATTAAGTTATGAATTCAATCAAACGGTGAAAACACTTACCCGTAGATTGCCATGAAGTGTTGCTACAATATCTCCCAGCATTCTTACAACATCCTCATACTGATAGGTTCCATCAGTCAACCATGCAGCCTCTCTTATTGTAATTATATCATTTTCCAGTAATCTATAAGGTCAAAGGATAAAATAAGAAGCTGTACATGGAGAATAGTGGAGCCTAACACTAAGTAGTAAACCTTAAATGCACTAATTTCAAATAATTACAAAAGGCACGTAGATTATACCTAGATTAGTTTCTATAAAGAACGCAATGCCTCTAGGCTCGCGTTCACGGATCATTGTTAATGGCGAACCATTCAGACTGCCATCGACTTTTAGCAGACAGCGTAGCTTCGTCAAGCGCTAACAGGGAGCGAAGTTATACAACTGTCGTGTGACGCTGTGAATGCCAGCTTTACTTTGCAAATTGTTAAGGGCGTGTGTAAGTGGTATTCCCAAAAACAGATTGAATCTTTTAGGTTTTCAGCATTACATACCTAGCACAAACAACCATGCCTGCAATTCCAACTAACTGAAGGTCGGCACGTGTGATTTTGCGTGACATGAGGTAACGATCGATGCAGGAGATTGTCGTATGTAATGTCAATGAAGAATAGTCTTTCATCCCTGTCACTTCTACTAACCAATCAACTAGAATATATCTGAGAAGAAAAAACACATTTACTGTATCATTCATGGTTGAGCTTGCTTTAAAATGTCAGAATTACTTACTTTAATGTAGATTCATGATAGTCACATTCATGATCCACCAAACTATTTTGGCCTCCCATTAGTGGGAATATTGGCTAAATATGATCTCATTAAAAGAGAAATGCATTTTTCGGTTGAATGCCTGAGGTATTATCCAGACATTTTTATTTTAATTTATTTCAACTTAACGCAGACAAATATACAACAAAATAACAATGAGATAAAAAGTTGCCAGTGACGGTAAATGACCAACAAGTGAACAATCGCACCTGTGATAGCGGCCGATCCCAAACTGCTCAGATAACAAGATATTACAGAAAGTTGAGCAACTGACCTCATCTCATTATTGAGACATTTCTGTACCCTGTAAAGATTCTGATTGTTGGTTGGGATGGAAGATTGGAAGAATTGCCTTAAAGTGGAAGTGACTTGCTGAGATGATAGGCCTCCATAAAACCCTTTACAGTATGCAGAATATAATTCAAGCTGAAAGATAGATTAGCAAAATGTAAAATGAATTGTTCTCCTACTTCATTGTCGATCAATACTGACAATGGTATCTCCTTAAGGCACATATCACAGTCAACACAACATTCAGTATGAATTACCTAAATATTTTCATCCTATGATTGACATAATAAAGATTTAGTGAAACACTACCTTTGCATCTAAGCATCTACTTGATGCAATCTCTCGCAGTTTCCTAATTGAGTGAAGATCATTATTAATAACAGATCCCTGTAAAAGAGAAATAAATACAATGAAACATGCAAACTTCACATCAAGAATTCACACATGAATGGGAACCATAGAAAAAGATTGTATTGTACAGGTATAAGTAATGATTACAACATCCATGTTAAGTTAAAACTCTTGTTTTTAAATTGTTAGAAAGTGATTTTACTTAATACTTACCGGAATGGATTGTGAGTTTTTCCAAAGTAAATATGCAGCATCGTGAGAGCCGGCTTGATACGCTTTCTCAAGCCACATTTTTGCGTTTTTCTCCATTTCTTCCTCCTCTGAGAGACTATAAGTTTTTGCGATGCACATCAAGACAGATGGATCATTACTCTTTAAAATAAAAAAAGAAAATAAAACAATCATTCTGTACAATTGGAAGTTAGGTTATCTAAACCATTTAATTTGAGGTGTATCTTGATATAACTCTTAAAATATGAGGCATGCCATTACAAAATCCGCATACTGTCGTTATATGTTAAACTAAGTAATTAACATAAAAATGTGCCAGTATTGTATACTTTTGTACAGAGAAGCTATACCATTTCTACTCATAACTTTGGCAATAATAAGTCGATTCCAGTAAATTACCATAATTTTAAAGCTTACAATATTATGTGGAGAACAAACATTTAAAACTTAATTTTCATTTTTTGGTCACAGATGCTAGTTTTGGGATGGTACTCATGGATAATGACAATAATTTATGATACCCACCTTGTTATTTCGGCAGGAACTCTGCATACTATTGAGTACGCAGGCCTTGCAGCAAGCACCGTTAGTATTCCAGGGGGGACGGATGAACAACCACATAAAGGTAGATGCAACATTTGAGCAAATTTCAGCTTTACGAAAGTACTTGGCTGCCATTTGGCCATTGTATTCTGTGTCCTTCCTCCCACTGTCTGTCACTGCTATGAATAAAAAAGTATATATAATAAAGAACCAATCTCTCTGATTATATACAGTAAGGCTTTGGGAATGGGGTTGTTTCGGTTGGAATAAAAAAATCCACAAAAACCTGTTATTTTACAGGACCCAGGGATTGGAAGGCAAGCAGCTTTTTAACCACCGAGCTATGCAATTTGAATGAAGTGACATTAAAACAGGATAGAATGGCTTCCCTCCATTGGAGGCTTGAGGGATGGAATATATCATAAGGATATGTCTGAAAATGAGTGACACTTCACTTACCTCCTTCATAGTATAAGTATGCTACCCCTAATTTGATCAATGCCTCTATATTTCCTTGCTTTGCAGCCCTATAACAATAGTAGCAATAGTAGTAATAAATGTTAAAACATAAGTCATGAAATATGTAAAATCTTTACTAAAAGAACATTTTACACTCCTAAAAATGTATCATCCAAATTATATTATCGTTTATTTTCATTCAATTTTCAGGTATACAATTGCATAATATACAACCCTGGATTCAATGTTTATTTTTTCGATTCTATTTTATGTAAAATCTTTAATTAAAAACACTGCACACCCCTAAACATTTATCATCCAAATTATATTACTTATTGTTTAATTTCATCCAATTTTTGGTATACAAATGCATAATATACATCCCTTGATTACATCATTCTACACATTATAATTTACTTTCCTGCTGATGTATGTTTTGTTTTACTTTTCTGATTTTCCAAATTAAAGCACTCTACAGCCACCAATGTCTTTGATCTAATTATATTATGAATAATTAGTACAGTAACCCCAAAATCTGTAGACATTTTTTTTTTCTGCAACATTCAATAAATAGGTTTTGGTGAAATTATTTAAAGTACATTATCGTCATTATTCCATTTTACCTTTCAAACAAATTTAAATTATTAGTCGACGGCCATTCAGCAACAAAACTTGCATTTTTCCATAAACTAGGAGTGGCATCAACAAGCTCCTTGAATCGTGGATGAACCTATAAAAAAAAAGTTCATTTGTAATGTCAGTTTGTCCATGCCAAAAAAAAAATCATTCAAAATTATAATTTTAAATTATATTATTAACAACATTTGTTAATACAATTTAAAATAATAATTTGAAATTATTTATTATTTTAAATTATATATAAAAAAATCTTTTTGAAAATTATTATTATCATTATCATCTCTTTCAGTCAAGTTCAGCGGTCACTGGCACCACTTGTGGCGTTATGGCGAACTTTTGCTGACGCAGTTTGTGACAATAAAATAAATTAAATGATGTTGACTATGGATTTTTTCCCAATTGGTTTGGCACTCTTTGCTTGCGTTATTTTGATTACCATCATCATCATCAATATATAATCAATATATTTAAAAAAAAATTAACATTGAGGTTAATTGTAATGACGCAAATATAGGTTGGTAGATCTCTTTCAATTTAGTATAAAAAAATCAAACTATACTTGTCTTATTTTAAGTAGATCCTTGCAGGCAACACCCTTGAATATAAGAAGAAGCAGCTCATCTGGCAATGATAAGATGCCTTGTTGGCGACAACACAACCTCTGCTGACGTAACGGTATTCTTCTTTTTGACTCTAAAAAACACAGAGAGAGGCCTATTAGTATTAACATTTTTTGTTGGTGGCATTTTATAAAGTAAAGGTAATTTTTATGGTTATATGCACAAGAAACTCTTCCTTCTTCAGGTTTGACCCTGGGGAAACAAAAATTTCACATTTTAATTGCAAGGGCAAAACAAGTTTTTGAATGATTTTTTGACAATAATTATTAATATCCTTCTTAGGCCTATATAATAATAATAATAAAAAGAATTACTTGATTACCAGGACCTGGACCATTCGGTGGACCAACCCCCTAACCGTTAGTAATGCTGTTTTTCAAAACACACAACCTATGCCCTAGTAGTAGTAGTCATTGAGTAGCAGTACGACGACCGTTGCAACGCATCCATCCACTACTACTGTTGCTGGTCTAGGCCTAGCCTATACTGCCCAGGCCTAGCCTAAAACTGCTGCAGTAAGCACTCATGTATTATATTGCCACTAATAAATAATAATTTTTAAGATAAATTTAAATGGTAAATCTTACCTTTCATATCCAAACGGTTATCACTTAAACGAAATGATAAACAACCTAATTTAAGGCCTAGCCTAAAACTAAACTACTTTGCTTTTGAATAACTCATTTGTAGCCCGCCGGTTTAATTCATGACCGTTGTAATTTATGCACATGTGTTTTTACACAGTTCTCACGTCTGATTGGTCCATTCAAGCTAAGAACCGCCTCTCGGTCTTTCTTTGGTATAATTTCGTAAACAAGTTCAAAGGTTGAACAAGTTCGGAATACAGAGCCCTCTATCGTTAACCTTTAACATTTTCTCTTCTTTTACAACATCATCAAACCAATCTGTTTGAGAACCGAAGATGGGCGGCACAGATTCTAAGCTAAATTTTCGGAAAGCTGTTGTCCAACTTACAACAAAAACTCAAGTAAGTGTTGCTTGTTATTCTATGTGATACTCATGCCTAAATTTATTTAATACGGAGGTAATGTGTATGTGCTACGCCAGGAGAACAGTTGGCATTTCGATCGGGACAGTGCACTGGCTGTGACGTGTCTAGGCCTAGGCTCACTGCAGCTGGTGTGGGATGATTGGTCTCTCGCGCTATCTGTTGGACGCCTACTACCTTCCCATGTCAATGTTTACTAATTGATATCTTTCCGTGGGCCTAACATAAGCTTTTTGGACCACAATGGAAATGAAATATTATTTTTGTTTGCATAATAAATAAAATTTAAAAAAAACTTGAGTTATTATTATTAAATAATAATATTTAATATTTGTATTTTGTAGTATATTTTCATCTTTTTAATAATAATATTTATGTGTACTATTATAAATATAATCATTCATTCATACGGTAGTTGTGTCATAACTATTTACTTTGTGATTAATAGTTTGAAATTTTGATGATCAGTAAGTAAGTGACATTGAAAACAAAGAAGACTAGCCTAGACAATTCAGGAGAGATATTTTTTATTTGGAATTGGATGATCTTTTTTTTATTATTAATACTATCTAGGTCTCAGGGCATATTACTACAGTTCCATGATGATGTGGATCTCTTCATGTATTGTTGTCATCCAATCATAAATGTATAAATATATGATAACAAAAAGTTGAACGCAGGTGTTTCACAAAAAAGTACAAAAGAAAAGATTCAAAATCTGGATATGCCCACTCATTATGACAAAACTTATGTAATTTCTTCTATTTTTATTTCATTTATTTGTTGTAAATGTTAAAATTTAATGCAATTTTTCTGTTCTGCACTAATTTTATTAATTTTTTCGACCCATGACAGTGCGATAATATGGTATAATGAAAGCAGTGTATGAATGTTTTTCTCACAGTGTCAAAGTTCGGATGCAACACATTTTTATGCCCAACTTGATATACTGTACAGTATAGCTACGTCCAATTAATAGTTAGTTAGGAAAGTTTAGTCCCCTTTTAATTTTTTGCGATTTTTTTTTTTTTTCTAGCCTGTAGAAGCAGGAGATGATGCATTCTGGGACCAGTTTTGGGTCGATTCAGTAGCAAGTGTTAGTGATGTTTTTGCCCTGATACCAGCTGCGGAGATCAGGGCATTAAGGGAAGAGTCACCGACCAACCTGGCAACCTTATGTTATAAGGTAACATATTGTCTTACCTGTATTTTTTTTTTTTGTACAGTATTTCATTGTTACATTATTCCATTCTCTTAAGAGTGGGTTTCTGAATGTTGGATGTAAATTAAATATATGGTAATAAAGTAAGCTTTTTGCTAAATTTATTTTCTTTAATTGTGGTGTGCATACAGCTGAGTTCATGGACAATACTTCACTGGAACATTGCAGATTGTTATAATTTATAAATATTATTTATACACAAAGACTTTAGACATGGTGTACCAAACGTTTGAGGATTTTGTCATTCATTATCGCCATGTAAACCTTCAAAAAATAAAACTTTGATTTGAAAAAACTGGTGTTAGCCACTGTGTGTTCCCTGAATCGAAGAGATCTTTAAAATATCATCATGGTCCCCATTTCAATTCCATTTGCTGTTCTCCTTGTTAGATGTTTAACCATAGGTGTGTGTACAGTACAATAATCATTCCATTTAAAAATATACTGTATGAAAAGGATTATGATAAAATATCATAATTTAATTGAAACACTGTGATCGATCCAGATATTTGAAATAGGGGGGGGGGGCAGGGAGGGACTTACCAATGGAGAGTGTAGACCATCTCAACCCATCATGGTTAAGGCTGTGGTAGGAAAATTTATGATTATGGCACCTTTAGATGGAATTGGCACTCTCGGAATTAAATTTACTTATAAATTTTCTTTATGCTCCATTTTATTTGTAATTTTGAAAAATTTATGGGTTGGTGGTGGGGAGGGAATCGTCCCCCCACTCACCTACGCCACTGTTATTTTTTTCTGTTGAAATATAATATCAGTTCATTACGACTGGTAAGGTTAGACCAAAACATACTTATTTAAAAGGTTTTAATTGGGTAATAATTATTAATTTGATATTGCTATGTGATACTGTATATTGATTACTATGTGTCAATGTACAAAGATTTCCATCTATGCTTGAATAATATTTTGAGATTCGGATTTCATTCACTGCATTGTTGTTGCAATCCATTTGAAATTATTCAATTTCAATTCAATCTTTATTGGTCCAATATTTTAATACATCAGGCAATCTTTGTTTATACACTGCAATATAATAACATCAAATCATGAAATTACAAGCTGGAAATTAACACAATCACTACTCATATAGCACTTATAATATAGTACTGTCAACATTATATGCTGATAAAAGAGTCTATAAAGTAAGTATGTATGTATATCCTGTCTCTTATACACATCTAGATGTGTATAAGAGACAGGTATAATGAATACCACTGAGTGAAATGCCTTCTGTACATCATATGGCAAATTAGAGGTAAGTTGCTGGATCTGATTTGCGGTTGGAAACATGGGAATTGCCGATATAATCAATCACCATGAAACCTCAAACTAAAGCCCTGCGCTTCTTCTTTTTTTTTTGCGAACTTTTCAAAATGCCCTCTTTTCAAAATGAATGCTGTAAATTTTTGGAATTACTACTATAAAACAATAAATAGGGCCACTGTAACATCAATTTGTGTCATGCAGTTTATTAACTGGCATTAAATCACCTAAACTGCTGTAAACCAAGTCATGTTTTTAATTTTTTTTGTTTTTTTTTTGTTTCCTTGAAATTCATGTACAGTGTATGTACTGTACTATCTCGAAAAAAATGGCCAATGCTATGGCCTTATTTTCGAGGCTACTTTTGCTAACTAAAGAGGGAGCTTCAATTCGAGATGGGCTTCTTCTCAAGATAAAGCCCATTGGGCTTCTATTCGAGGTTTTACTTTATACCAAAATGATACACTAAATTTTTAGTTTATTATGGTATATCATTGTATTGAACCAGCAGAGATTTGTTTCCTGTTCCCTGTATACATTGTTAGTGTTTTCCATTATTTATTAGTGTTCATTACTATTGCTATTGTTTTATGTACAGTAATTTAACTTCATTTGCAGGCTGTAGAGAAGCTTGTTGCAGCAGCAGAGTCTGGTTGTTCATCTCCTAACGATCAGCACATCGTTCTTAATTGTGTCCGACTTCTCACCAGAATATTACCGTACATCTTTGAGGATCCAGACTGGAGAGGGTTCTTCTGGTCAACATTACCTGGTCAATCAGTAAGTTTTTCAAAAAAGAGTCATGCAATAGTAGCTAAAATGATGCCTTCCACTCAACTCTGTGTAATGAGTTAATGGATGTTCGTGCCATGGCTCGACTCTTCCATTTTATTTTTGAGGGGCAGTTGTTATATACAATTTAGAGTCTTACTCATAATGCTAGTGCCTTGGACCCAAATTTGTATACTTTGAATTTTACCCCTAGAATTTTGTTTAATTATTGCAAATAAAATGCAGTTATGTAATTATACAAACTGTAAGGGAGTGGGCGGTATCAATACTATTCAAAGGTGTTAGCTGCGTTATTTCAATGCTAGTGCCTTGGGCCCAAATTCTGATTTTAAGTATGTATACTTTGAATTTTACCCCTAGAATTTTGTTTAATTATTGCAAATAAAATGCAGGTATAATTATATAAACTTTAAGGGGGCGGATGATATCAATAATTTTAAAAAGTGTTAGCTGCATTTAGTTAGTTCAGGAGATAACTCAGTAGCTGTAGTGCTAGTGTAAAGCTCACATCAATTATTTTCTTGTCTTTTTCTGTTTGTTTTTTGACAGAGTGATGAGGAAACGCAACCATTGGCACAGTCATTGCTTAACTCTGTGTCAGATCTTTTGTTTTGTCCGGACTTCACCGTGTCCCCTCACAAGAAACCAGGACCAGTAAGCGCATGATCAATTTTTGTTTACTAAACAATTTTTTCTTACCAAAACATGTTTGTAGTGAAATAAAATAAAATAAATATATGAATAATTGAGGAGCACTTCTTTAAAGTAAGATCTCTATCATGGTCATACCTGGCAATGTCAACTGATGCAAATCAGTCAATGACGACCATATGTTTTCTATGAAAGAAAACGGCTAGGAAGACAAGTAACAAGTAAGTATGTATGTATATCTTTTCACTTGTTTTTAGCACATAGTGACCCTAGTATTTTATGTGGTATATTACATAACCTTTAACCTTTATTTTGCTTAGGACAACCATGAAGATCTACAGTCAATTGATAGCTGTGAATACATTTGGGAGGCTGGTGTAGGACTGTCTCTTATACACATCTAGATGTGTATAAGAGACAGGATTACTATGTGTCAATGTACAAAGATTTCCATCTATGCTTGAATAATATTTTGAGATTCGGATTTCATTCACTGCATTGTTGTTGCAATCCATTTGAAATTATTCAATTTCAATTCAATCTTTATTGGTCCAATATTTTAATACATCAGGCAATCTTTGTTTATACACTGCAATATAATAACATCAAATCATGAAATTACAAGCTGGAAATTAACACAATCACTACTCATATAGCACTTATAATATAATACTGTCAACATTATATGCTGATAAAAAAGTCTATATTAGGACAAAATTACATAAGTTTGCCCCCCCCCCCCCCCCAATTTATATAAGATCATTCATTGTGTATAATGAATACCACTGAGTGAAATGCCTTCTGTACATCATATGGCAAATTAGAGGTAAGTTGCTGGATCTGATTTGCGGTTGGAAACATGGGAATTGCCGATATAA